GGCATCGATCAGTTAAAAAACAAATGATCTGACAGGACTGTCTCAGCCGCTGTGCTGAATCGCCTCCTCAGTTAAAAATAAGAGGTTTCAATTGCATGAATGGCAGCATATTCCTCAAAATCCTGAACATATTATTTGCCATTAACGGTGCCTTCACAGATGTCATATGAGTCAATCTGAGGTCTTTGTAATCAGCCCTGAAGAAAATCTATCTTCCTACATTCACTGGAAACCTGAGTGTGATCCTTACACATTAACAAAATACTTTCAAATTACCAAGAGGACCTTTAAAAAGTCACCCATGCTTTCACCCCATCATATTTGCATTACTGTAATTCCCTCTACTCCTACAGGTCTCAGCCAAAGTCCATCTCCCTCCTTTGCCTCAAAAATTAGAAACCAGACTTTGATCAAAATCCAAAAGAGAAGACTGTGTAGTATTGGGAGGACTCCCACTGGTTACCATTTAGATAGCTAGTTAACTTTAATATATTTATTAACTTATTACATCTTACACCTTATGAGCTGAGCCTCTGCCTGTGAGCAGTTTTCTCACACTCAATCATAAGCTTACTCAAAAATCTGTATGTCTGTTCTTAATGCGTAAAGATCCCAACTGCTCAGTATTAGCGTTCGGCCTTGTCTCGTACTTGTAGCAGTTTTCCTGGACTGTCTAAATTCACACTTTTCTGGGAATTTTCCCAGACAAGTGTAATACAGCGGCTACGTGCTTGCTGCTGACTGTGACTGAACTATGTCATCTATGACAGATAGCGCTGACAGCGGCTCATTACAGGAGTTTACAGACAGTTTATGGAAAGTAGGAAGCACATCATTAAATTGCTCCGTTGGCTCGCATTTATTGGCAGGCGCTCATCATTTATGGCTGCAAATATCACGCGTTTATAGCAACTTTTTTGTGGATGAGATCGTGTACTCTGTGAGGCTTTAAATGGCTCAGCACCTCAGAATGATAAACGCTGTGGCTTTTTGTGAAAGTCACTCAGTTGTTTTGTGCTGTGCCTCGACAGGAAGACGCATCGCCACTGCGTGGGCTTTGACCATCAATCGCTGTCCCTATACTGTCTTGGGAGTAATAGTGGAAAAAGCTGACAGTAACAGGAGGTAGAAGATATCTTGTCACTGGAAAAATCCATGAACCAAGTAAATGATTTTTACCCTTAAGAAACAGCGTTCTGCCTGTAAAGCTAATAAAAAGATGTGAATATAACCTCGACGCCCGAAAATCAGCTATCCAGAATAATTTGCAGACCCTTAATAATAATGATTCAACAAATTACGTGTTAAAACCGGAAAATTTGTTTGTTTTTTTAAATCATTAACTCATTCGATTTTAAGTTCCAGCAATATGTTGCAAATAACACTGGGAACGAAACATATTTATAGCTTCTTTTAACAACATGTTAGCTTTCAACTCAATATCCAAAAGGTTGTAAACTGATGAAATTAATTTTAAGTTTATCTGATCATTATAATTATTTCGTTAATCTGTTGTTAAGATGAGATGATCAGGAATCATTTATGTGGTGGAATTTTTGTATTAATGCTCACTTATCTCCATGGAATTTCCCATAATTGACCGCATGGGCTCTTATCTAAGCTACACGCTAATTGCTGACCTAAGCCAATAGTGAAATTCTCCACTAATGGCATTATCATTAATGCGCTAAACCGATTTGTCGGTGCTCCCTCCATTAATTAAAACAAGACCAATTATCCAAGCCATCACCATCACTTCTTTTTACAGATATTTATTTTAATCATGCAGCTATTATATCTACTAACTCACATCCCCGACTCTTTGTTTCACTGTGAAAGCATGTTTTTTTTTAAAAACAAAAAACAAAAATACAACAGATGCAGTCATTAATAATCTATTGCTCCCACACGTGTAAGCACCACAGCTTTTAAAGTCATGACTACATTTAACAGTGAGGAGGAAAACTAATAGCAAGAATGTGCAGTGTGCATGCACATGTGTGTGAGTAGACAAACAAATTATTTTGGGTGAGGCATTTCCAGCCAAGCAACAGTTTAATTGAGTTGCAGGCCAGCGTGCAATTGCACAGAAAATCGGATGTGACCTTCAAATTTCCTGATTCGAGTCCACATAGAGGCCATGTGATGACCGCTCCTGCAGCCACTAGATAGTCCCTAACCCCGTGTAGTTATTTCAGTTTTCATACATATAGCCTGAGCTGGCGAAAGTGCACGCACTCTTTACGTAAGTAGAAGCACAGATACTTGTCTTACAGATGGCGGCATGTTTTAGGTCATTGTCATGCTGGAAGACCCATCTGATCCGTAACCCATCTCCAGTGTTCTGGCTGTGGGAAGGAGGCTCTTGTCCAATGTTTGCCACATGGGCACAGAACCAATCTGTGGGAGCCAAAATTCAAGCTGGGTGGGATCTAATACATCTTTCACTCAATGACATTTTTTTCCCATGGATTTTTGGTTCATATTCTGTCTCTCTGCATTAAAAATGAAACTACCATAACAATTAGAGTCTGTTTATTTCTTTCAAACTCACACATCCATTGCACATTTCTCCAACTGTATCATGTTTCATAAAGTCACAATCACACATCTGCATCTGTATAGAATTAAAAATGACTGAATGCTCCAGTTTTTCAAACCAGTTTACTGAGCAAAACAAGGATGAGAGTTGTGTGTCATTTACAGTACACAGGTATACAGCTATACATCGACAGCAGAGATATATAAGAAGGCGCGGGGTTAAAGTCGCAAGGTATCAACAAAGCACGGGCCTTATAAAATATCAAGATGGTGTCTTATTTTTCCTGGAGCACTGCAGACTCAATAACTATTTCATAAAAGCAAATAAAACCATAAGTTTGGCTTGAGTCAGAGTTAACGAACGCTTTTCTTCTATAAATGAGGGAATAAATGATCAGCAAAAGGGAGAGGGGATCTACACAAGGGAAAAAGACAAATTACACATGACACTAGCGGGGTTGTATCCTCAGTGAAGGATCACTGTTAGCAGCATACAGTGAAGTGTACATATCTGTGCAGTGAGCGAGTTATTGTTGAATCCAAGGGCAGCGGGGAGCAGAGCACGAGAGGATTTATGTATAAAACATCAGTATCAGTATCACCATCTGTCAGACACTGAAGCTCGAGACAAACATACAGTGAGAGAGTCTGTCATGCTTATTTTTAAGTCTGCAGAAGGGGAAAAACACACACAAACTGCGGGTGCACAGATGTGTGTAGGCGAGAGTTTGGCAGCGTTATTTACATTCAGATGGACAAATACACTTACGGGGCAGAGGTGCAGAGATTTTCATTAGAGGGGAATTAGTAGGAGCTCGGCTGTAAATAATGCATGCAGCAAATGCAAAGCAAGGTCTCCAGATGGAATTTCACTTGGTATGATCAAAAGGTTCAACAGATGAAGTTAGTGTTTGACTGCATTCCTGACAATTCTGCAGTCATCTTTATAGCTGTCTGGTTTGCAGTCAACAAGCCTTCGTGTCAATTCTTTTATGGGGAAAAATAATGTGAAAGTCCTTGGACTATTTGTGCAACTACACTGTATAATATAGCCCTGAATAAAATAACAAACAGGGCCTATAAGGAGGGAGTCGGCATAAAAGACGGAGAACAGAATGAAGGATGGGTGACCGAGGTCAGGTGTTGGGGCCTGAGGCAGCAAACATGGCAGCAAGAGAAAAATAAAGCTAATGTAAGTCAGCATGGTTCTGTTTAGACATGGTTGCAGTGCAGTAGTGTAGAGTGTAAGAGGAAAACATGACAGTCTCTCTGCAGATCCTCTGCTTTAATACTGTGGTAATTACAGCAGCAGCTAACAGGACAGCTACTAAAATAAAAACAACACATTGTAAACGTCTCATTCCCTTTTCTAAAAAAAATAAACTAACGGAAAAAGTTTGCTTTTTTAAATCATACATTTACAGGGTCAAACAACATTTCATGCAGTGAAAAGTAAATCTGTCAGATATTTGTGATCAATAACACTGGACTGTACTATCATAGAATTTAAAAAAAAAAATGCTATGGCACATTTGTTGGTCACAAACAATAAAAACTGAACGATCAATGTTAGATCCTTATCATTTCACTCCCAAAATTTACAAATAGCATTTTTGGCATAAAAGTCATACATATTGTTATCATGCCATTTCATGCATGTCCTAAGATTGTGACACGATGCATTACGTTTGTCCATAACTGTCCGAAACAGCTGTTTCATAGTAGCATCTGTGATTTGTCAAGCAGGATAATAATCATGTAAACACAGTGATTAAGACTCAGATGAAGAATATATATTCTGTACATTTCTCTCTATTTTTTATGACAATAAATATTTCTAAGTGTTGATAAATACAAGGTGGTAGATTTCCATGAATGGGGGCATTTAACATTTGGAGAAGACTCATAAAAGTTGATTTTCTTCCTTTAGGCAGTGACTAAACAGTTACATGTGTTCTAAAGAGGATTTAACTGTTGTTGGTGACAGTGAGTAGATGGGTAATAAGTAATAAGGCAAGTCTTAATACAGATCAGTTGAGACAAACACCTTAATTATAACTTGGCACCAAATATAAATTAAAGCTACTGGCTAGTTCAGATTTGGGGATTGTTATGTGAAAAGGACAAATACATTTAATTTATGGTTAGCAGATTCAAAAGGGCATACCAGCTCTGCCAATCTAATTTAGATCCTGACGCCTGCTGTGCTTAAGGGAAAGACATTTTCTCCATCATGTAGTAACAAAACCAAAATTAAAAGAAACATTCTGACATTATGGGAAAATGTGCTTACTTGCTTTCTCGTTGAGAGTTAAAATAAACAACAAACAAACAAACAAAAAAAACCCAACAGACTAATATCACCAGTAGCTTACTCGTGTCTCCAGGCAACTGGAGGTTTCCAGGAAACCATCCAACCCCTTCCAAATACTGAGTTTAATGCCAAGTTTTTGTACTGAAACAAACAAGTTATAATGTTCCAATTAGCACACTTTAAAAATTCATAGGTGGACTTTGTTATCTTGATTTAGAGCCAGGCTCGCTCTTTTCTCACTTGTCGCGTTAAGATAATTAGCTAACTAACTAGCTGAGGAAAGCTAACTAGCTGTAGTAGCTTCCAATTTCTATACATCCAAAGGGTGCCAAGCAATATGTCTTGCGTAGCATATTATGTATATCATAGTGTAGTATACTATATACCTTAAGTACTTGTTTAGTGTAGTGTAGTGTGTATTGTAAAGTGAATTTAACTGGCTAAGTCTTAAATCAAAAACGGCAAGTTATGCATTTTATGTTAAAGAACATGAACTGCTAGCAGCTATATTTTGCAATCTTCTGACCGCACATATATTGCCAAAATTTCTAATAGTAAACATGACACTGTAACAGGCATATACTCCAAGAAACAGCAAACCATGTCCATCAGAAAAAAAGCTGCCGCTGCTGGCTAGCTAGCAATTGGCATGCCATCACTGTAAATGACTGCTGGTTAGTGGCATCGCCCCTTTTTCTATGTACAGAAGACTGACACAACTGAAATGCTGACAGGTAATTATGCAGCACTTCTGTAGCTGTATTTGTAAGTGTGTGAAGAGATAGTACAAAAGCACACAGCTTGAGACAAGGAAGAATTTCTCATCAGTCAGTAAGAAAGCAAATAAGCAGCAACCCAAATGTCAAAATATTTCTTTTACAGCATACAAGCAGCTTAAATTGTCCAAGAAAATCTTTCAGCCCAGAAAAAAAAAAACAGAACAGGATCCACTTTATATAATGTAGCTACACTATTCATTGAAATAACCAGACAGTTAGAATATGTCACAATACACTGACAGGGAAATGCAGAAGCGGGACAGTGGGCAAGTGAAATGTCATAATTTGTTTTAATATTGCCAAAAAAGGTGTCAGCTAGACACACACAATACACATGGATATGGTGTGTGCGTAGGGAAGGCAGGGAGGTAGAGCCAACAGTGAAGGGTGGGTGAATTATGTCGGGGCTATAGTTGCCTGATGGGGGGAAGGTTAAGGGTGTCCAGAGCGCTGTGGTAGAGCTCTCTCAATGCTCTCAGCAGATACAAACGACAAAACATTTGGTTGAAGAGATGAGGCAGTGGCTCCTGCAAGCAAGACAGACAAGAAGAAAGACTGAGAATATAGCAAGGGTATGTGAGGGAGTGAAAATACAGAGGAGCAAAAATAACAATTGCTAGGCCCCCCTTTGTTTTACAACAAACATTTTCGCCCCCCCCCCCACGCACGCAAGCACGCACAAACACATCCTCCAACCACACACACCCATATTTTGCTCCATTGCGGTTTATTTCACACCTCAGACATTTAGTAAACAATTAAGCAAATACAAGTAATCTGCAATAAATTGCAGGTAGTAGTAAAATAAACTAATAACTCTTTTACGCTGCTTCCACACCTACACGGTTATTTTTGAAAACGCAGCTGTTTCGTCCACACGTAAACGGCGTTTCGAATCACCGAAAATGGAGATTTTTTAAAACTCCTTTTTTGCGCTTATGTGTGGACGAGGAATACAGAGTTCGTCACGCAACGTCAAAGGTATGTGCCTTTTTTCACATCATGCTGTGCACCACGTTATTGTTTACATGAGATGAATTGCAGAATAGCAGATAGAGACAAAATACTGTTAATCTGACCATCTGCAGATTTTACACGCTTACATACACACGCGGTTACTGTCCCTCCGTTTAGAAAGGCAGAGGCGTCACGGTGGGATTATTTTATGTGTAGTTGTTTTTTCCTGTGTAATAATATTCAACATTGCTATCAATACATTTTTCAAAAAAATGCCTCTCTGTGCAAAATGGATTCAAAACATAAACAACTGTGGGATACTGTTTGTCCATGATTTGAACCGGGAGAACAATTTTGGCAGGATCAGCCAGATATTATTTGTGTGGACGAGGAATACAGAGTTCGTCACGCAACGTCAAAGGTATGTGCCTTTTTTCACATCATGCTGTGCACCTTTAACTTTACTGTATAAAGAGCTAACATCTCCAAAATGTCAGGAGCAGTTAGTCATTACAACAAGTGTTTGTGAACTAAAAATCAAGAATGTGGGATACTGTTTGTCCGTGATTTGAACAGCCCAGTGCTGCTCCCGACAAAGGGAAGACCAATTCTGCAGGGAAGACCTACCTCGGCACTTGTGCAGGTGAAGCCAAAGGGAAGATATGCTTCACTATATTTTCTAGTCTTTGGCTTAGAATGAAGTTGGTTTGGAAACATATTCAGCGATGCTTCATCTCCTGCTTTGCGTTTCTGCGGGCGCCCCGTGCTAGCAGTGTCAAGCGTTTTGTTTTTTTCCTTTTCATACTGCGCCCCCCCTGCCATGGCTCTGCGCCCCCCTAGGGGGCGGGCCCCACACTTTGGGAAGGTCTGCATTAACGAATGAGTCTATGCAATCTTCTGACCACAACTGTATGTAAATGTAGTGTATAAGAAGAAAGGGAACACACAAACACACAAGAAAAATCACATAAACGCATAAGCAAATAGATTTTGCAGCATTCACACATAATCAGAAAACCCTACTGTAAGCATATTTGCTGTGGTAATATATAATTCAGAAAATGATTAAGTGTATGTTTACAGACAAATATAAAATCTACTTCTTGTGGGACAATATGTATAATATAATCCAGTTAATTTGTACACACTCCCCGCTGTAAGTACACACATACATATATGAGTACATCCTTACCCCCAGCACGTGGACCCGGTTGTAGTAGGAGCTAAAGTCTTTACTGAGCGACACGAGAAATTTACAGATCTGAGGAACACAAACATGTGTATGAGTTATATAAACATCTGCAACAGCGGACGTATCCACCTTTTCTGTTATTGCTCTTACCTGTTCAGTTTTTATGTTCACTCTGGCTCCACCCCCTTCGCTATCCAGAGCCTGTCCCGATTGTTCAAGCAGCTCCGAGAATGGAATGAGGTAATTGAACAGGAGAAGCCATTCACCCTGTCAGTTAAAACACAGTCACATGGTAGCGCTGTAGGATTAACACTGCATTACTAAAATTTAGAAGTTACAGTTTCTAATATAATTAAAATTAAGAAATATAATCAAATTGTAGAGAACAGCATATCATAGAAGACACTAAAGTGGCACCTCTTCTTTCAGAGCAGAGAAGTCCAGCTGGGAGTCCTCTGGGATTTCTGGGTAAAGACCTGCAGATAAAGAGTCAGGAAAACTAAATGTAGAAACATTGTGATAGATTTTACATTACATGTTCAACATTATAGACATATTGATTGAACCCAAGAGACCAAGCAATAAGCCAAGTATCCCTTCATTTAGCTGTGGATGAAAGCTTTCATTCTTTTGGACCCTGCATATCAAGGACTGTGCACTTATTTAGGTTTATTCTCATCTTTTAGAAATAACTCTCCCAGTCATCACAGGCATTTACTCTTCATCTAAAACTCATATTACCTTTGGTGTACCACAAGGATCAGTTTTAGGCCACATATAAAATTCTGTTTAAAATGATGGCACTTCAAATCATCCAATGTCAGCATCCTTATTCCCTGCTAGTTTGTTTTTAACCTTTATTCAACCAGGAAGCCAAACTCTTGAGATGGGCCCAGAACCACTGTGTTGCCAAGGTGTCACCCCTTAGAACAGCTGACCCACCTTCTTCTTCAGCAACACACCTGAAAATCATCATTGTTGTTCCCTTTTTTCAAACCACATCTTAACATGGAGTTCACATGCAGAATAGAAACAATTCCAGCACAATTTGATCCAGCTCAAAGCTTAGCCCTACCTAAGCTTTGAGCTGGATTTTCCAGATTTATCAGATGACATCACTCATATCTTGGTTTCTCATGGATTTTAAGATCTGATTGACACACGTGTGTAAAGCACTTTTTTGTCTGACTTGCTTTTTTTTCTTTGCTATTATTTTTTATGATTGTTTTTGTTCTGTTTTGTTCTGGCTTCTTAATATTCATAACAACATTTTGTGTTTTGCATGTCCTTGGATACCACCCTAAAGCAGCTAACCTTGCTTTCTTATAACTGTGACAGAAATAAAATGCTCCACATGCAACATTATCCACCCACTGAGCAATATCGATTTCTGATTTATTTATGCAACAAAACATCACAGTCCCGCTGAACTATAAATAAAGCTCGTTCTGGCTTTTAATAAGTCTCTCTTTCTCTTCAGACTGGGTGAGGTTAAAGGAAGACTGCAATCATTGGCCACAATGATCTGAATTACGGGAACATTTATTTACAGAAAAGCACAGCTCTCACCTTTCTCCACTCCTCTCTCGTAGCTGTCGAACAGAGTGTGCAATCGGGCGCAGTTATACATCACAAACACTCCTCCTCTGGGCCCCTTGGTCGACACACCGCCTTCCCTCTTGACGTCCAGCGTCACCTAAACATACGGCTGTCAGTCAGTCTGACTTAGCGCATTAGAGCATGGCTGCTTGAAAGGGAACAGTGCTGTACTGATGACTCACAGGACTAGTGTGGACAGTCGACAGCAGCTCAAATCTGACTGCAGCAGAGGTCATGACCTTGATGATGTCCTCCCACGTCTGACCTTCAAGAGGAGGAAGCACTTGTCTTCAGTTAATTCAGTTTACTTACAGTCTATATGCACAATGAGAATGCGCATAAACACACACACCTTCTACTTGATCTCCATACTTCATCTCGGAGGCCTCTTTCATCTGACCTCTTCTCAACCTGGAGGAGAGAAGGAAGAATAGAAGGCTCATTAATACAGGGAACCGAGCTAAAAATACACCACAATTACACGCAGACGAAGAAAAGCATCAACAGCGTCTTATTCATCACATCTGCAACGTTACGGTGCAGGGAAGATGATGGTAAGAGTGTTATTGGTGAAAACAAACACATCTGGTGGGGATCTGGGCAGGGTTTGTGGAGGAGTAACAGAAATGACATGAGTATGTCACAAAAAGGACGAGAGAGGACAAAGGATAAAACAAAAAAAAAGAGGCAGAAGCACAGACAGAGGAACTGATGTGTCTTACTGCAAGTACTGTGCAGCAGTCAGGTGTGAACCAGGAGTCTTCACAGGCCCACAAACAAGATGCCTCTGCAGAAACAGAAAGCAGAACAGGTAAAAATAGGAACCCTTCATCACTGCATAGTGTGTGTGTGTGTGTGTGTGTGTGTGTGTGTGTGTGTGTGTGTGTGTGTGGCTACCTGTGTGTGTTTGGCTCCGCTGGCTCTCCACAGCATTGCTATCTGCTGCTGGCGGAACTCATCTTGACAGGAAGTCGCATGTAACACTGTTACCATGGCTGCCTATGAAAGAGGCAGTGACAAAATTAAAATCAGTGCTTTGTCTGCCCATTTTATTTTGTTTTTTATTAATAATTTTATATTAAAAACAAAAGACATGGAGTGTGTTTGTCTCACTGTGCAGTCAGTTGTGGATAGGTCCAGTTGTGCCAATTGGGAAACGCCGTCTCTGTTAACTAAAACAGGACAACAGTCTGTCAGCTGTTATTATACAATATGAAATCTCTGTTATCTCACTCATCTTTTATCTAAGCTAAGCTGCATCAATGCAGTTTTATTACTTTGGGAACTAAGCTTGCTGGCTTTCTTGGAATAAGTAGGTACCCCTCAGACACACACACACACACACACACACAACACACACACACACACCACACACACACACACACACACACACACACACACACACACACACACACACACAGGAGAAAGTTGGCTTAGCTTAACGTAAACATAAAACAGTCTTCTAAGCTCACTAATTAAACGGGAATGTTATAATTATGAGTGCCGCAAGTTATTCTTGGCCAGGTGAGAAGCTTGCTGGAGTCTCCTGGCAACCAAACTGGAAACATGAAGTTTGAGGTCACTGGCTCAGCAAGAAGCAATTCTGGCACAAATCCTCAGATAAAAATAAAACAGAGCTTGATTTATTTGAGTGGACTGCAATTAGCTTCAGTAAAGAGAAAACTGCCAGTTTCATTTTTTTTTTTTTTGGACAAGCAGGAAGATGAGATATAGAGATTTCTAGAACTTGACACAAAAAGCAACAACTGATGAAAAATATTTGCCCTGGATTTGGATAAACTGATCATTCTTCATGATGAGGTGTAAATGAAGGCCTGTGGTAAGCAAGGGAACAATGGGGGAAAGCACTCAGACTCACCCGTGCAGGTGCCAAGGCTGGGGTCGTATCCCGGCAGCCCCTCCTCTTGAAAAACTTGCTTCAGGTTGATCCTGAGTGCTCCTTCGTTCTCTCCCTCCTCTGCTTTCCTCCCTCCCCCTCCGCTAGCTCTCCTGCCTCTCTCCATTTCCCTCTCTCTGTATTGAGACTTCTCTAGCGAGTCCTGAATCTTCTCCTCCCGCTCTTCATTCGTCCAATTACCCGGGGCTGTCGGCCAATCGATTCCCAGGGCTCGGAGGAAACTGATGATGTCGCTGTCTTCAGGAAGTGTGGGGCAGAAGGACACGGCATATCTAAGACAGGGAAAGGGATTAATTAACAGTTGCATCCATTGATGGTTAATTGATTAGTCTATAGATTATCAAGAAGCCAATGGTAAAATCTTTCAAATGTCCACTAATGCAAAAAAGAGAAAAATCAGCTAATTGTCACATTTGGGAAGCAGTAAACAGTTAATTTAGGGAATTTTCCAGTGTTATGATGACTGTGTTATTAATTCATTTTGAATGAGAGAAAAATTAAAACCAAGAGGATTTTAAAAGCCCGACATTTCTGGCAATGTTTACAAGGTCCAGGTCCATTAAACCAGACTCACCCCTGTCTTCTCAGCAGTGCCCCCATGTGGTCAGCCAGAAGAACAGTCCTCAGCTGGCCTAAACTCATTGTGTCAGGACTGGGTGTGTTGGACTTAGGGTGCAGTGCGGGGCAGTTGAGCACCACACAGCCCTGCCTATGACTCAAGGGCTTCAGGTACTCTGCAGCTCCACCCGCCAGAACGGCCCTGAATGTGGCAGCCCGATCCACCCGTACCCTTAGACCTTCACCCATCACCTCCCCACCAGCCACAGGGAGAACCCCACTACCACGAAGGGACAGCACTCTGGACATCACTGCTGGAGGGACCTGGGAGGATGTAAAAATAGATATAGGATGTCACATACAAGCAATAAGAAAAGTATAATGTATGAAGGGCGTTTTTATTGTTTTTATAAGTATTAATGGTTGTCTGATACATGACACAGTCACGCAGTTATAATCACACAATCCTCCCCTAGCATTAGCATTGTATTAAAGAATATTTGCAAAGAGGTTTGCAACTTGGGGGGTATTTTATGACTCTGACCTCTCATTTGAGTCTAATGTCATGCAATCCTTCTTCATTCAGCTTAGACAGATATCAAAAATCAATTAATTCAAAATCCTGCTGACAGGCACCAGTCCTTGCAATCATTCTTTGGCTACCTGTTAGCTTTAAAAATTAATTTTAACATTTTATTCCTGGACTTTAAACCCCTACATAGTCTGTCCCCTGCCTATATCTATGAGATGTTATTTTAAATGAGTATGGCTGCTGCCCACTAACAAAGCATATTCTTGTTAGTAGTCTGTAAAGCTTGTTCAGTCACTAAAGATCGAGGCTTTGCAGTCCAGGTCTCACAACTTTGGATTTCCCTGCCTGAGCATCTCATCCAGGCTAATTTTGTAACCTCTTTTAAATCTCTTAAAGCACATGTTTATCATCCGCTTTCTATAACTGCTAATGTGGAATCTTTTTCATTTTTAAGACCCAAATGTGTATAAATGTTTGTTTTTCCTTAATCTTTTCAATTTTTAATTGTTTTTAAATTCCCACTGTAGTCATGCTTAACTCCAACTTCTCATATTTGTTGCTTTTATTATTGCTAAGCACTTTGTAACATTGTTTTGAAAAGTGCTTCATGTTTTATTTGTTCTACACACATTTTTGCAAATAAAATAAAAAATGCACACCATTCTCAGTATGTCTCAGTGGCAAAAAAACATTAGATAATGGAATCTGCTTTAGAAATCAATGCCAGTGCATCTCTACACTGTAAACAAAACGAGTGCATTGTGGAACATAACACATGCACAAGGATATAAACAAATATGTACTAATGTGTTTCTTTTTTAATCTTTGCATTGTCATATTTTATGGCTGAAGAGAACAAGCTTTAAACGGGGTCTTTTTGTGCTCTGTGTAACGCAAGTTGCAGCACAGCCAGCTTGGCCTTTCTGTCTATCTGACCTATATTGTATGTGTCAGTCATGGGTTAATAATTACTGCTGCAGGCTGTTAGTGCCTGGTCGATGATGATGTTGGAGCAAAGTCAGCAACCTGATCAATCCACGGTACCAGGCCCTCTTAGTATCATTCAGATGTACCTACCGTTTTGTGAATTTAGGTGTTATTTATGACACCGTGTGGCATTCACGGGCAGTCGGAATCACCTGAGCACTTTAAAGCAGACAGTTCGGTCCCTCGCTCCTATTGGTCGAGTCACGTTCGAAACAGCTGAAAACACCTTTATTCGTTTTTAATATCACTGTATTACTGCGCGAAACGAACTAGCACTAACATAAACACACTAGTGCCGAGGAACTACACCGCTTAGCGGAAGAATAAAATGAAGAGCTGTTTATCGGAACTTCAATGTGTTTAAGCAGCGGTATTCCCGCTGTCTGGTGACAGCGTCCGGTTTGACTAGATTTAAGAAGCGTGTTCAGAAAGCGCATTGAGCGGCTTAGATACTATTTAGCGCTATGTTGAAATAACATAAAACAGCACACTCTGAGATTAGCATGGAGTCACGCAGAAGCTAATATATCCAACAGGTATCAGTCAAACCAACCTGTCCGTCGGCGTACAGCGTGTTAAGCATCGTGGTCGGCGACAAGAAGTCCCTGTTTCGTAGATTTTTAGCGCTGCTCTCCTTAAACCAAAGCTTCTCCGGTTCAGGGAATACCCTGTCACCGTTTACACGGCTGGAACCGTGGACATCTTCACGCTTCCCCCGCAGCGCGGAGCTCAGAGCACGGACTGTAGGGGTGATGCGAAGGGGCGAGAGCTCCTCGATGTTCTCCATCATCATCACCACCACCACAGCACAAACAGGTGAGCTTTCTACCAGTCAGCTCATTCACCCTCTCCTCATATCTTGTGTCAAGGCGTCGTCCCGCTGCTCGCGTTGAGACGGGCGAAGATGAGCCTGATTTTGGGTTACGCTAGCCGCACGGTTGCTCGCTGGTTGATGTCAGATGTTGCGCTGCATTGCCTGTTTTCTCTTTGCGGAACTAGTGAAATGTAATTTGTGTTTTCCTACGACATACATTCGCGTGTCGGACCAGCATGGCGCCATCTAGTGTTAGGTGAAATAACTGCAGTAGTTGTGCCCCAAAATTTGTGCATACTGCTCTCTGTACTGAGACTCTGGAATTTTGTTAGGGTTTGAGCTCGCCACCTCTTATCCAGTGTGGGAGAAAGGTCAACCATAAGGTGAGCCCACAACTCAAAAGTTGATCCTGGTCTTAGAAACCCAACATCATGAAATCCTTCCATCAGGGGTGAAGTTTAGTTAGATCATTTTCTTATTGCTTACTTTTTTTTGCTAATACAACCATAAACAGCTTTGTGTGTAGAAACTAAACATGCAGCAATTTTCACATTGATCATTTAAGCAAATGGTTTTTTTTAAAAGATTGTAAATAAAGTTATGGGTAGCACAAAGGAAGGTCCTTACAGCAGTTCAAAGACATGCAGTTAGTGCGGTTAGGTGAACTGGTGATTCTAAATTAGCCGTAGGTGTAAATTTGAGTATGAATGGTTGTCAACCTAGCAGGGCAGCTTTTCAGTTATTAAATACAAAGCTGAGTGTAGAGAGAACCACAAACAAGTAGCAGCTGAAGACAACTGCAGCAAAAGCCTGGCAGAATATCTCAAAGGAAAAAACACAGCATTCGGTGATGTTTGTGGGTTCCAGGCATCAGGCAGTTACTGACTGCAAAGGAATTTCATCCAAGTATTAAAAAAGTAACCCTTATATTTAAAAGTTTGTAATTTTGCCCAAGTAATGTTTGATCATTTTGATAGGTGTATAGAGGCAAAATTATCAAAAATTGTCTCTGTCAAACAAATTATGGACCTAAAGACATGGAGATCCCATTATCTCTATGATTTAAAGAGACAAACTGCAGAAAATGTGTCATTGTCCCATTAATGACATGCTGCATTTTGAGCAAAGAAAAGGAAAACAACAGTGATGAAGCTAGTGTCAGTGACGGTCACCTAGCTTGGAGAAAAGTCCTCCTGCAACTGCACACAGGTGCTGGAGGACATCCATCTGCAGAGGTCAATGGACCATAACAGAAAAATGCCTTATAATGTCAGCTCACAACCGTGACTGAAATAATCAGTTTATGAAACTACAAGAAAAATCATGAAATATTGGAGTGCTACCTAGTTCCCTGCACTTTCTGCCTCATCAGACCACCAACTGTCTGACAGCTGTCAAGTGCCTCAGTCCACATTTCTTCTTATTATAAACTACTAAGGTGATATTCAAGGAACTTTAATTGTCTGAGCTGCTGTTGAGGCAGATAATGCACTGCACATTACGCTTGGAAATTTGACCAGAAATGACAGACAAAATGGATTTAGTAAATGTGAGCAACAAACAGGACTTCGTGTTACATGGCTTAACACCTCTCGTGTGAACATGCAGCAGCCTTCGGTTTACAGGAAAGAGATGAGTCAGTATAGCGCTGACGTCTGGATGTCCTGATGGTGTGCAGTTAGATGTGCAAAGTCTTGCTTTCCTGTGTCCTAAAAACAAAATGAAGCTTAATGGTTCAGTGTTTGGCTAGCACTCTGGCTGCATTAATCACACTGAACTGAAATAAGGTCCAAAAAAAAAAAAAGTGTCTTCTGTTTATTCCGGCTCCCTTAAGTGCTGCTGGTCAGATAAATATGGCAAACACTTTATAGTTCTTGATGTTCTAAAGCTGCAGCAGAGAGCTTCGACACTCTCATCTGATACAGGCAACTCTAACATTTAAAGTTTGTTCAAACAAAAGAAGACTTTTAAAATGTAAAGTAGGGAAATGAGCCTATCTTCTATTAACCTCTGGCTACATTAGCCGTAGGCTCAGGGACAAAGACTGCCCTCTGTAGGATGAGTATAGCTAAGAAAAAACTACTGACTTGAATCACACACTTGGTTAGTTTAACCCTCACTGTCACTCATAACTGACCGAGAGCTCATAACTAATCTGAGAAATGAAGGGATCATTTCAGGAAAAGACTCTGTTCCCTTATCCTGAAGGTTTGTTATTTTGAAGGAATGATTTGGAACCGGGCAGTGCAGAGCGACTGCAGCAGCTGTGCTGTAATACTGCTCCCGCCTTGATTTTATTTTTATTTTTATTTTTTTTTTGGGGGGGGCTGTCAAGTTATCTGGTTCTGCATTTGCATGATGTCCAAGCCTGTTGTCCTATATTTACCTTTTTGCCTTGGGGCAGTACCTGATCTGTTAACCGATTGGTTCACAAAGGTCCATCTACAGTACAGTGGATTACACAATACAACCCTTCACTTTATCACGAACCTGTTTTAGCCCAAGCATTGCTGTAACATAAGACTTGCCTTAAAAGCACATTAAATAACATGCCTAAACTTAAAATGCAACTATTTACACCAAGTAGGTGTGCCATGTGTTACCATACACCTGCAGACAGACCTGCTCTGATTGGATGATATATGTGCTCATCATTGTTAGGTTTTATTGAACCTTTCCAGTGTTGTTTAGCCGGAGAGTTAGACTTTGACTTCTTTCATTCAGAGTCAGAGTACAATCAGAATACATATCATAAACAATATGTGATACTGGGATGTCCTTCGCTTAGCAACATGAAATCCATTAGGAGAAGTTGTTATAGTTAAATAAAAGTAAATTAAACTAGATGTGAAGAAATATTTTAGTTTGTGTGTTGTTGTGTGTAATATTTTTTAAATGACTTTTGAGAGCAATTAAAACTAACTGAAGCAATTTTGTGCACTACAATAATTAAAGTAAAGCTGTGAAGAAAATATCCCTAGTTTTAGTATCTGTTAGTTTAGTATAAAAATAAAGTATTAAAACTTGAGTCATGAGGTGTTGAGAGACTGTTGGAGACTCTGAATGTCTACAATACTATGACACAATTTGAGTGAACCGCTTTCCAAAAGTTGTTTTTATTGTAATACCTGTACTAAGTTTCTTAACTCTAGCCTCTGACACATGCCCTCCATACAATAATAATTAGACTTAAACCAAGAGGGAAACTAATTAAACCGAAACTAAAACAAACCTTTTTTTTTAACGATAAAAACTAACATGAAATAAGGAAGCACCCTCTGGAAACTAAATATAAATTAAAGAACAATAATAGAATCCAATAAATACGAATAAGACTACAAATCTGTGATAACTTTGCTAGAAGGTGAAGTTTGTAAATGACTATTTGTTTTCGCAATTTTTGGCTGTTTATCGGTGTTTTTTAGTGTGTTTACTAGGGTTGAGAGTGACTGGCGTGACGTGGATGACGGTATCAGGAGTTTAAAAGGGGGGATGAGGGGGTGGGAGACAAATAATCCTCTTTTTGCACGTCGTCTTCCGGCGGAGCTGTATGACGAACGGGGTGCGAAGATTAAATAAATAAATGCATCTTTTTAAAACGGTGTTTGTGTGATTTTTTTGTTTGTTTGTTTTTTAGTAAGTTGAGACGTGTTGTTGGGGTAATTGAACGCAACCCCAGGATGCACAACTGGCAGGAGAACGAAATCCGAAGACTGCTGAGGATCCGCAACTTGATCGCGGGCACGGCGAGAACTCCGCGGTTTACCGGCGGATAAACAGCTGCTGGCGGAGAGGGTCGTCCGCGGGTCACTGTACCACGAGCAGAAGACCCGCTGCGGGACCGAGCGCGTCGTCTAGCTGATACGTAGACAGCGACGTGATCTTCGAAATGCCCAGGAGGGGAACCCGGTGAAGCGCCATCCCCAGCACCTACACCCGCCACGCCCACTTCCGCACCGAAGTGCAGTTAGGGACGAAGTGGACGACAGAGGGCTTAACAAGCACCTGGGCCCAGCGGAGGTGGATGACGACGAGGACCAGTACAGAACACGTGCACACAATCAGCCCCGTGAGTTTGATTCTGTTGCAAGTTTGCAGGGGCGGTGCTAGATGCTATCAATCAAGCGCTGGTATCGGTATCAGATCGATTCTAGTGCAACAGGGTCAATACTTAGTTTCTGTCCTCGAAGTTCAGTACTTCTAAACCGAATTGTTAATTTTTATTTTTTTAAGAATGGGGGGGAAAAAACTTTGAACTGCACTCTAAAAAAATGTCTGAACCATTCTGTTGAATGTCTTTATTTGTAGCCTTCAGCACACTGAAACAACAAGCTTGTTTGACGTTTGAACTTCTATGGAGACCAGTGCATTTAGATTCCAGTAAAAATCACTAAAATAGTATAGAGTGTGAATTGGTCGTGAGGTGCAGATATCACATAGACTGGTTTAAACACACTACTGCACAGGAGGTTTTGGTCCAGTTACACTTTACTCTGTTTATATTCTCTATACAGGTCTGGCTCCACAGAGTAGCTCAAGCCTTTTACAGCAGGTAGTGAGGTCTGTGGGAGCTACATCATTTTTTCTGTGCACATTGAAAACCTACAACAAAGCCCAAGCGTTCATGGCTATTCTTCAGTTTTCAAATTATCAGCAAAGACCATGCAGAGGTGTTTATTATTATCCCATATACTTTTGATGTTGGGGTTTAGTGGAAAGGACTTTCTGAAATTGATCGGCATGCCCTTGGATGTTCTCAGTATTTAGGTGTAGGTGGGCTTCATTGTTGCACACACATTGTCTTTGAACACAAATTTTCACAGTTGGATCCACTCTGTCAGATAAGCTAGCTTTTAAAAGAATGCCATCAGATTCCTGCATGCATTTAAACTGACCTCTGGCCAGTATTTGGGTCTCCAGTTCTTTATCTAATCTGTAGGAAATCTGCATAAGGATCAGTATCACTTATTCAATATTCTGTCCTTATCAGGAGGCTCTTTTATTGCTGGAGTTTGTTCTATTCACCAGAGTAGATTTGAAGGGATGGTCGACTGTAAGACCGGTGGCCATAGTTTCACTTTGAGGAGACAGATGAAAGGGTGTCACTGTCTTCTAATTGCATGCTGCAATGTCTTTGTTTTACAGCACACGGTGATGGAGGAAGTCTCCACATCAGTGTTGGCGACGGACGCCCAGATCAGAGAGATGGACGCCTGTTTGCAGAGGTTAAAGGAGCATGTGAGGGAAATGAAGAACAGTCTCATGAGCCAGTTCATAGCCATGAATGAAAGAATAGGACGTGATACCTCAAACTTGTGAAAGACTACTGTCCAAGTTTCCTTTGCCTTTGGCTCCTTCAGGCTGCTGACTGACTCGTTCTTGTGTGAATGGCACTTGTTCACCACTTGTCCAGTGCCTCAGCCCAAATTAACCTCAACTCTGTTCAGTTGTAGCTACTACTGATCCAGGTCATGTTCACACTTTTGTTTTCTGTGAGTTGATTTCAGTCGTTAGTTAACCAGTACATGCTTTTAGATGCATACTGTAATTCAGTTTTATCGTACTAGCAAAGTAAACGTAGAAAATGAATAGCTGGTCTTTCTGGTTCTGCCTTTGCTTTTTGATAACACAGCCTACTGTGGAAGACTAAATAGAGTGGCTTTCTTTGTGTCAAAGAGTGCTGTGTGTTTTCTTTTCTTTTAAATTTCCCTGAGCGCTCTCACCTTCTGTGTAGCTGTGTGTAACTCAGATTTTCATCTTGTCTACAAATGACTAAGCAAGAATGAAAATGCAGTAGGCATGTTTGGCTTTTCTGAAAAATTCTTTTCTATAGAAATGCGGGTGGTTTGATCTACATTCCTCTTCGCTCTCAGTGCTTTTGAACCTTTTAAGCTTCACCATCATGCTTCTGGGATCTGAGTTGTGTGAGTCTGAAAATCTGCATTTGGTGGATTAATACCTGCAGCGTGAACAGAAAATAAAAGATAGCTGAGTTAGTCTAGTGTCTGACACGCGGGTGGGTGTATTCCTCCACCATCCAGGCCAGACATGTTTGAGTGAACACTGAAATGTAACACAAAGTAGGAGTGCGCTCAGCTCCAGATCTTAAACATGAATCGCGTGCCCGGTCTTGACAAATATGAAAACAAACAGAATACAGGCACCAGATGGAAACATTCATTTTACTTACCAAATATTGAAAGCATATTTTGGCTGAGACATCATCAGGATAGTCTGATGTATAATAAGATGAAATAATATTTTAGAATATAGTATAATAATTGTATAGAAATATGAGGTGAGGTCCAATCAACAAAGAGGACACACCGGCACGATAGAGAGCAGGCTATCCACCCAGATGAGAAAACTGCCATGAAAGAACAAAACAAAAAACATCACGTCATCATCCACAGTTAAATACTAAGTTATAGCAGAATAAAAATCTAACAGACTTGTATGAAGCTTTATCCCAATATGTTTGTCTTTATTTTGAACCGACCAAAACAGAATCCCTTATGAAGCCAAATATGTGCTCTGCTTGTTGAAAGGTTTCACCCTCTTTCACAGGGTCGGTGATGGCAGGTGTGGACTCAACACGGAACCTGCTGCTCAGTCATTTCCTGTGATCTTGTGGAACTGTCAAATTACAGGTACTCCTCTGTAGGTGATGCTGTTTGGTGTAATTGAGGGCAGTTTTTTCCTCACTCTTATAGATTAAGCAGCCTTACCCAACAATGGATATTAAGAAGAACACGTATACATATTGTGTGCCGGTTTGTGGAAACAGTGGGCCACACTCATTTGTAAAAGCAGAACAAATTGCAGTTGCTGCTTTGTGATGTGTTTGGAGGAAATGGTAAAAGCTTGTAATGTGATTTGACATTTACAGGACAACATGGGTTGTCACGAGCTTTCCGAGAAAGCATTGTTGTCATACATAAACCAGGTAGTAGTACCAAGAGGACGAGAAAAACCACTGTTATTTACTGTACATATGTACCACTGAAACCGTCGATGGTAGAGCGCATCATAAGCAACGTGCCACAATGGGCACTGCAAGAAAAATAATAACTTTAACTGTCAGTTTAAAGTTTGAGGTTTATTAGAAATTCCTGTTTAGCAATACAATTAGTTTTTAAAAAAACAACAACAACTACACACATTTTAAATATTGAAAGTAAAAAATAATTTTCAGCTGCCTCAGTTGCTGTTTCAGGTGTCATTCTTGGCTGACACGAAATTCCCGGTTGCGTTTCCTGCTCACAGCAATCCGGGAGAAAACGTGTCATTGAGGAAAAACACCTCTGCATCAGTCAGTCGAACCACTTTTGCAGACCGGCGACAGAGTGTCACATGACCTTACAGGCGTTAGTTTCACTTTCTTCACTGATTCAACAGAAACAAAACCACAGGTCTGCCCTGCGTGGGCCGTGATGGTGAACAGCGAGACAGTAGCTGTTATCAAAATGGGTTTTCTCAGTGACTCAGCTGGGTATTTTTACCCCAGATGCTTTTATAGCGTTCTTTACTGCCACTGGTGTTTTGCTTTTACTGTTTAAACATGGTTTTTGTTCTTCGTGTGAGAGTTTTGAACTGACGTGACATGAATTCTGTCTTAAAAACATTTCAAGGTGACCTGCAGTGTTGAAGCGTAATGTCTGATGTGTGGAAGGAAGGAGGATGCCCCACCGGGCTGATGTGTCGGGGGATGTCTTGTGCGCCGTGGGATGGAAACGGACCCCATAACCAGCTGGGGCTCAGAATCACAGCTGCATTATGGGTTCCGTTACAATCCCACCCACAAACAGAGGGTTTCAGCACGGCTGGCCTCAGGTCAACACGGCTAAAATAAAAAGGAAAAAAAGAACAAGTTAGAAACGGAAAGTAGGTGAATTTACATGATATGTTTGAGAGCAGTGATCAAACTCAGACGACCTGAAACGGAAAAACATGAGTGAGCTTTTCGATGCATTACATCATGTTTGTTTTGCACTGACAAATGAGTAAGGTGCTTTTTAGTGATTTGAAATTGAGAATTATGGCTTGTTTCCATTGTTGGGCTGCGCGAGCAGCTGAGGGTTTAGATGATTCAGTGGCAGTCGCAACACTAACTTCCTCTGGCTCGTTTTGTTCTGGTTTTTGGGCGCTGACACGACCTGATCTCAGACCTGCAGTGGTTCACAGTGGATCTCAATGGAAATTGTGTAACCTCCACCATGATGTACTTTAAGTTATTTGGCTGAAATGTGAACAATTTAAAGAAAAAAAAGATGTATTTCATCAATGAACAAGTGAAAACTCACTTTGTGATACATTTCTTTTTTTTTTTTTTTTTTTGATAAAGTTTGATCATTTTCAGCCATTTATTCCGACTCTCTAACTGCTGGTTTATGCTTCTGCAGAAGCAGACATTTAAGCCTATAAGGCGATCAGAGTCCAGTGTTCTTTATGCTGTAACATAAAAACAACCATTAAAATCACCTAGCCACTCAGGTCTAACTCGGTGATTTAAAAGTCCCACACAGATTCAGACAGATGCAAGGAGATTTAGTTTATCACTCCAAACACGACACACCTCCCAGTCACACAGCAGCTTGGCTCATTACAGTAGCTTAAAAAAAGATTACAGGCTCACCATTAAATTTGTAATAAAATGGACAAAGATGTTAGCGAGAGTTATGGGATACAAACTGCTTTTTACAGAAAACTCTTATTAACCAAAACTGGTTTCTGGAACTGATAATAGATGCTTTTGTAAAGTCTTCTGTTCTTTTAAGTTAGATAATTTACTGTGTTGCTGTCTGATTGAACGCTCTTAAACCAGAGTGCGTCTTAAAGAAATACTCCCCTTAAAGGTTTGGTCTGCTTGAGGGGGAAAGGTAGCAGAACAACTGTACGGCTTTCCTGAGAGGCAGGAGTCAGAAGAGGAAAAAGTAGTTTTTGTTTTGACCCAATTAAAGCATATATGTTAAAAAAAACAACGTGAGGTTCAGCTTGTCAGCTTTAAATCCATATCCATATATCCAGATATTGAAAATAGACCCATCACTTACTGTAACTGCAGTCATAAATAGGACTATATAGGTATTCTAGCTTGAAAAACCAGTTTTGTGTTATCAGTTGTCAGAAAGAAAAAGAAAGCAAACAACAGAGGGGGCGCGGGAGGTCAGTCTGACAAGGAAGAGCTGATAGAAACGATAAAAAGGAAGAAGAGAGCAGACGAGAAAACTTTAAGGAAGAGATTTCCATCGTGGGACTCTTCCTGTGAAGCCTGAAATATGCCTCACTCTGCCCTGTAATTAACAGCTAATCCAGGAAAACAAAAGACGAAGTCACTGAAAGAAAGATGCCTCGCAAAGGAGACAAAACAGCAGCAGCTCAAAGATACTTTCAGTTTGTCTTGTCGGCTTAAACCCCTGATTTAAACCTGACGACTTTGTAGCTCTTCTACAGTGTGTGGGAGAATTAAACAAACCCATCCGTTGCAATCAATTTAAAAAAAAAAAGCAAACTGTGTGTGGGAGGAATGTGAGGAAAGAGTTAAAGTTAAACTGAATAAGGGGAGAGAGAGAGAGGTGGAGCCATTCAGAAGCCAAGCAAGAGAATGAAAGCAAAGTGAGTGTACACAAGAAGCTGTCAGACACACGGCTCATCATTAGATTCAGTGTTGCTGAAATTTAAAAAGCTTTTACCTAAATGTTGAGCGGCTCACCTGCGCGTCTGAGCGCTGCGTCGTCCTCTGCAGTCCCGTCTGCCAACAGCTCTGGGACTCCAAACTTCCTCTTTAAATACTCCACAGATTCATTTCACTTTCACTTCTCCTGAGGGCAAAACTCCTCCTTTCCTTCCTTTATCCACTCCCACTGCCCCAACTCGCCTCTCGCCCTCCGCACAGAGACGGCAGCTGGTTTTCTTTATTTAAAATGCATTCTAGGCAAACAAAAAACACCCACAATTGGTGTAAAAGTTCACTTTTATGTGCCTTTTCTGTTTAAAATTGTTGTACAGTAAGCACAACCTCAGTGTATTTAAACTTTAACTGATTCAAATGCTTTCATTTATCATTAAACAGCCATATGTTTTATACAATGTTTTATTGTCTGTAGTACATATAAGTGACACACGATCAGTTTTTATGACTTAAATACATTTATTTTCATTTTCATTCTCCTGTAGTGACTGTAAATTAACATATTTTTATATTTTATAAAGGATCAGATTATTCAGATTAAAAAATACAAGTTTAAGTGCATGTAGATTTTAGTTTGAGGTGCTGATGTAATTTCTAAAAAGTCAGATTCATATCTTTCAAACAAATTAACTTTATTTTCAGTGAAAACACTTCTATGGTGCTTAAAAAAAATAAAACTGGAAAAATCTGGATTATCCAGGACCAGAAGATATTCTACTTTTTTCCTTTTCCTTTTTTTTTAAATGCTGTGAGCCTACACAAGAAACGTTATTCTCCTTCACTTTGTTTTGGTGGATGGTTAAATCTCCACAACTTAAACCTACTCAGTCCTGTTTGGGTTAACAAATAGGGCATAAGAGTGTCGTAAATAAGTAAAGGTGCATTTTTAATTTAATCTCATGAACTGTTGTTGTAGATCAGGTTTTAACACCACGCACAGATAATCAAACATTTGTAAAATAATTATTGGACTCAGTTTTTTTTTTTTTTTCAAATTTTATACAATAAAACAACATCTGATTGAAATTATACTCAATTGTTTCCACTGCAAGAGAATGCAGTGTGTATTATATTATATATCATTTTCACACTGAAAGTAGGGTAAGGAAATGAATCAGTCACTTTAAAAAAACCCCAGTCATAATTAGAATCTGAAACACAATATATGAGAGATATAGTTCTTTACGTGACTCATTTCCTTACCTTACTTAAATGATATATAGTTTAACCAATATGTAACCATTAAACATGTCAACTATACCCATTTGTTTATTCCAAAGACTACATAAAATGCATTATTAGTTTTCTAATGTTTTCTACAGCTATGAGTAGCCGTAGTAATGACTTAATACTCATAATAGTAGTGACAACAAAGGTGGTGTTAATTGTAACTATTAAAATGGGCTAAAATCAGTTAATTTGGAAAGTTTAATATTGCATTGTAATATCGTAACCATTGTTTTATCTGTGTATGGTTTGGGTATGTCTCACAATGTCGGTAGAATGCTGCTGAAAAGGATGTAACATGAACATACAAATAAGCTTAACCCTTTCAAACGTGTTCTCATCTGAAGGTTTCTTGTAACCAGAGTGAGCCTTTGTACCCGACGACGGTCACTCAGCATTAAAGGAGGCATTGTGGGAGTTGTATCGCCTATTTTTACAATTTTTTTTTTTGGAACAAATGAAAACCTTAAACAAAAAAAAAAAAACCAGCCTCTGCCATAACCACTGCACCCTTACCAGAAGTAGTAGGAGAAGTCACAGAAGTGACTTTAAGTACAAATGGTGGCTTTATTTCACAGATCGGGGTTCGGTTTCACATGTAAAACCTTCATCTATCCATTGTGCTAATTGAGGCATGTAAACTGACTCTTTCCTGTGTGTTAATTACAAACGTCTGCGTGCGACATGATGGATGAACCGAGGGCAGGTGTGACCAACAGAGTGTGACCGGACAACTCCCATCAGACAGTCTGCGTTTCAGCCTGGAAAGTCCGGGAGATTCAGAGGAATACCTGATGCTCTCTGGAGACCTTCAGCAGATAGGAAGATGTGGAGGTAGGCGGAGAAAGGGTGGTGGCTTTCTATGTGATGGTGGAAACCACTGTCCTCGAAGCAAGATTGGACTGAGTGGCAACAAACCGAGCTTCTCTGGAAACTCTAGGTGGGCAGATCCATCCAAATGTTAACACTGTACCCGCACAGATGGAAAAGAGTATTGATCTGATACTAAGTTCACTGAATTGTGTTAAACTATTTTATTAAAAGGATTTAGTGGTCATGAAAATGTGTTCAGAATTTGCAAATTGAGGATTTCTTAAATTATGACACACTGCTCTCCCCTAAATAAGCTGTGTTTACAGGTTAAAGTATCAGTACCTGTGTTTATATCGGCAATACTGGCCCTGTATTTGATAGGTATCAGATTGATACCAGAATTTGCAGAATCACACAGGACTACTGGAAACCAAAATAAATGTCATGATGCTTTGGTGTGTGTGTGTGTGTGTGTTCTCCTTAACTTTACAGCATGTACAGATTGATTAATATTCTCTGTCCTGATGCAAACTGCAAAGAATTACTTTGAAAGGCTTTTAACTGTTTGATACATTAAGTTTTGAAGTTGGATGTTTAGTTCCAGTTCTTCGGTGCAACCTACTCAGGTCAGCTAAGTATATAAATGTACAAATTTTAAACAATTCTTCAAATCAGATTGAAAAAGAATATTTCGTATAGACCCCTTTGACCTCTTTATCAAACATAAAATTAGAAATTAATCTAAAACAAGCCTGTTTTTAAAGTCTGACTTAAATGGAGTAAATTGAGTGGATGATGATATAAAGTGTGTAGAAACTGGCACACAGATGGCCGTCAGCTCTCGCTACTAACGAAGTTGAAATGAATGGGTCGGCTTCACTGCTTCCCTACATTAGATGAACAGAAACTAAATGGTCGGTTTAGAACAGACAGTTTCTCATCTACAAGCTGCAGCACATCCTTTTCTTTTCTCTTCCCTCAGGTAACATGAGAACATGCAGGGCACAAGTTACTAGATAAGGATTCTTTAAAGTTTTAGCAAAGTTGTTCAATTAAACAAAAACAGACCACAGCCACTTATGAAAAACATGCTTTATTACTGGACATTTTTCATCTTGAAATGGACACAGCAGGGTTCAAATACTTTGAAATAACATGGAAAAGCACTGGATATTTTCATGACACAATCACCCGTGCACTTATTGAAATGCTTTAATTCAGTCCTTCACATTTAAAACAGACTATGCATAGATGACACTGGCAGGAAGACTAATGGATCACTGGAAGAGTGGAGTTTGAGAGAGGTTGATCTTTACAGACTACTCTAATGAGAAGTGTAGTTGTGGGTGTGCGTCAAATACAGCTATCAGATGATCTGGCAAGTAGTGTTTTTGCATAATGTCTGTTGGAAGGATTCTCCATCAGAAGACAAGCTTCTCCTTAAAAGAGACGTTTCTCGTAACTGTGGGAGAAAGAGTATGAGAAGAAAAGATCACACGACTTATCCACGATACTCCCTGAGGTTTCCTGTTAAGACAGACACAGCAGTAGCCTGATTACAGGCGCTAAAGAGGAAGTTTAACTGAAGGCTTGTGTGGTTGTGGTAAGACATGAAACTAGGAAATTTGAAGACCATGAAATATGAAACTGAGGAAAACCCATGTCTGTGTGCGTGTGTACCTGTGCAAGCTGTGGACTCCGCCTTCTTTCTGAGCTGATGTTGTTCTCTTTTCAAATTTCAGGTCTCCAGAGTACATCATGGCTCTGGAGAAGGAAAAAAGAAAACAGCTGTTAGATGACAGCAGAAATGGTGAGAAATTAAGTACAATATAAAACTTAAGGAAATAAGAATAAAGCTGGACATCAAATTTCTGTGAAATACAAGATAATGGTCAAGCTATAGAACTTGTAATACACCTGACTGTACTTGGTCAGCCACATCACACTAATGTGATTTACAAAATGTGTCAAGTACATCAGATTCAAACTTCATAATGAATTCCTTTTTTCCTATAACTGTCGATGTATTTGTCATCAAAAACATTTCTGCAAAAAAAAAAAAAAAAAAAAAAAAAATTTGTTGGGCACCACTTTGGTCCCCAATCTTCCCCCACACTCTCTCCCAGCTGCCCCGTCTACTCCCTGCTGTGCTATCTGATAAAAGCAACCAAAAAAAAAAAAGTTCAAAAACCTTTCTGTATGATGTACAAATGAAAGTGTTTATTTACAGCAGTGTATTTAGACACTGTAAAATTCATACTGCATATCGATCATGATTTGTGCTTCAAATATCACTGGACATTTAATCACTTTTTTTATTGGCTTGCTTCTGAGTATTTAAACATTAATTTTTCTTCTCGTGTGGCTGTTTGAGTTCTCTCAGAGTGCAGCGTTAACTCTGACAGGATTGTGTTTTTACCTCAGTTGGGTTAGGCTTTTAGCTCCGATGTCCTGGCAGGAGTGCTGAATGCCAGCGAGCAGGTAAGGAACAAACTTGTGGATGGAGCCTTTGTCCTGCACAGCTCCGGAAACACCCTGAGCGACTTTAATCTTATCGTTCTCACTGGGAGGGGAGAGGAGGGAGAAAGGAGTAAGTAGTGTGGAGAGAACCCCTTGTTAGGCAACCTACTGCTCACTGATAGCATGTCAACTTCAACAGCCTGTTTAGACCAGTTTGTTCAGTGAACATCTTTGTAAGCTCGTTAGAGGTTGTCTATTAGATGAAGTTTTTTTTTTTTTTTTTTAAAGTAAAATGCCAGCGCCATACTTTTCTAGCAGGCTCATCATTCTTTACCACCACATAGCAGTACAACAGCTGTGTTCTGCAAACCACTGAAAATGAAATGAGGAAGTGTTGTCTGCTGGGGAAAACTGGCAAAGAAAGGCCCAACAACGTGACAGGCAGACTGGCTGTGTAAGGTGGACAGCCCCTTGTTGTATTACTGATACCTGAAGTATCTGGTCTGGGAGCCCAGGTTTTTGTCCATGGCGTCCAGGGAGCCCATGCCACGGTATTTCTTCAGCCTGATGCCATCAGAGAAGAAATATTCACCAGGAGCTTCACTAGTAGCAGCCAGCAGAGAACCCATCATCACTGTACACACAGAAAAAGAAAGTTACTGAAACATTTAACTCTATCATATATTTAAAAAAAAGTCAAAGATAAAATTGTGCCGAGATTACAACAATGAGGTGATTGATTTTTTTTAATTTGCTCTTTCCACAGTCAGACTTTACCTTCTCACTAACTGTAGGGTGCAGTTAGTATTAGAGATAGACCGATCCGATATTACGTATCGGTCCGTTACTGACCTAAATTACTGGATCGGATATCGGAGAGAAATAAAAAACGTAATCCGATCCGAAGTATCACAAAATCACCTCACAAAACGCGCTACTTGGCGTAACCCAGCTCGGCGCATCGGAGCAGTATGTGTCACGTGACAGAGCGGCTGTTGTCTGCGAGACCTGTCGGCGGTCTGGTGGAGTATTTGGAGCCTCGCTACATGCTTCCTAACCGCGGCATTTCATCTCGGCCAAAACTATCCCAGAGAAGTAAAGCAAGTGTGTAAGTTCATGCCTAAATGTTTGCATAGTATTTCCACATTAAGCTTAACAACTGATATATTGAGCCACAGCTGGACTGGCGATCGGAGTTCCATACTGAGGTGAAAAGGAAGCGATTTGTCCCGTACTTCAGCTAGAATTTAAAAAATCAACACTACTTCTCTCATTCACTTCCCCTCCCTCCCCTGTTATTACTTCAAGCAGGAAAATGATCAATGATCAGCTGATCGGCTTTTCTGCCACAAGTCCACTCTTTCTCGATTGTTTATCGCCCACTTTGTGCTAGAAAGAGGAGACCGGCGGATAAACAACAGCAGCGCGTTTAAGCGTGATAAGCTGCTGTTAGAATGTATTTAATATTACTTTCTAGTGTCAGCTGAGGTTTTGGTGGAGCCACGGCTGTAAAAGCTGCTGGTCATGATATCGGTTTGGATATGTGGTGAGAGGGAAACATGAAGATGGAACTAGGAGATGTTCTTACTAAATCATCAGAGCTGAGCAGGGTGATGGAGAAACAGGTTTACCTTTTAGGTGACATGAATGAGTTGAAGGGAAGTTATGAACTGTTTCTGAGAGACAAATAACACCAGGATCCTTTCCTACGTAGCTGACGGCTGGTAATTGTGCAGGGGCGGGTCTAGCAAAGTTTTGTCGGGGGCCAGGGGCACAAAGAAATATTTTTCTTTGTTATGTCATTTAAAAACTTTGAATAAATAATTATCTGAATCTTACAACAAAAGTGGTCATCTGATTAAATGTATAGAAATCCATTATTGTATATAGTAACTAGTAAGTCTAATATACACTTTAGTAAGTTATAGTACTTTTTCCTTTGGGAAGGTACCATCTGTGCAGTCTGCAATTCTGTTGAAGAAAGATGCTGAATCTATTTAATTATTGTAGAAAAATAAGTGATTTCTGTGCATTTGTTTTACACTTGCATTAAATTAAAGTTGATTACATCGATTAAGAGGCGGGGGGTGGATCTCTAATATTTTTGCTGGGAGTTGGCAACCCTATTAGTTAGGTAGGTAAGTACTCTTTAAAATACCAGAATAGGGAGGATGGTGTAGGTTTAAATTTATTAGATTGATCAGTGTTGCTGAACTATAACATGTTTTGGGTGGAGTGTATTTTTTGCATACAGGTATAACAGAATAGCTTCAGTCTCTTGTTTTTTTTAAAACTTGAGTATGAACTTATACAAAATGCAGCAAGATATTTATAAAAAAACAAAACAAAAAACCCGTTATTGATTACAAAATACGCTATATCGGATTCATATCGGTATCGGCAGATATCCAAATTTATGATATCCGGTATCGGACATTAAAAAGTGGTTTCGTGCCATCTCTAGTTATTATGTTGCATCTTAAAATTCTTTAATCAGTTCTTCAGTAATAACACAAGAAGATAAAAATCAAGTTTTTCTTTCTCGTTCGACATGGCTTCAATGCATGTTCACCTGATGATCAAATCCATACCTGTGGAGGCTCCAAGTGCTAGGGCCTTTGCGGTGTGGCCAACGGTCTGGATGCCGCCGTCAGCGATGACCGGAACGCCAAAACGCCTGGCATACTCTGAAACCTTATAGACAGCTGTGGCTTGGGGTCTGCCACATGCCAGCACTGTCGAGGAGAGAGGAGGAAAAAACAGATGAAGGTGGATTAAACAGGTACAACTGAGAAAGGTGCCCTGTAAAGAACCTCTGTACTACTGTAAATACACAACTCGAGCCAGATGCACCAACTTGTCTTGACTAAGCTTGATCCTGAGGTTTCAGCTAATATGAGCCTTTTAAAAATCTTATGCAGCTTGAAACCACCAAACCAAGCACAACTCAGCTATCCACATTAATGTATTGTGAGTAAACCTAGCAGTATGCGCCATCTTGCTAATGTGTCCTTTAGCAGCAAGCTCAGGCTGATAAAACCTTATGAAAAGTAATTTTGTCATTAAAATAAAAAACAAATTGAATTGAATTCAATCTGTAAACAATGTAGGGGATTGCTTCAGTCGGTTATTTAAAAACGCAGAATGTTGTCTTCAGTGACAGAGGCTGTGTGATGATGGCCAACATTTTTACTTTACACCTGCTCTTCACTTGTTGTATGGAGAACTAGCTTTAAGCTTAAGTGGTTGAAGTTGCTTAAAAATCAGCCGATAACACCACGGTATGACATATTTAGCTAAAGAACTGGCCTCAGTTTGGAAGATTCAGCTTTTCCATCATTTAGCCATTGTTCTTTCATATGTCTGACAGTTTGAGAAGGCAAGAGGAAAGAAATCTCTACTGACTAATAATAGGACAAACTGTTCAACGTTTAGAAAAAAGAAACACAGTGAATGAGCAGACAAACTGGGAACATGTCTGTTATGTTTGTTAAATGTGAAAATGAGGAAGTTAAATTTGTCACATCAGCAGAGAAATACCACACTGCTCTAAGAATCAAACTCTCATAATACACGCTGCCTGTAGCTGCAGAGGACTCTTCAGTGGATTTCAAAGCCATTTTTCAAAAGATCAACTACTCTAATATTAAGCAACAGAAGTAAAGTGCGAAAACACAAATATCCCAACATCCCAATTCCTTTTATTAAACCGCTGAACTCGTCATTTCCTTCCAACTCAGGACTGCAAGGTACTTACCAGCACTAATGATTCCAGTGTTTCCCCACACAGACTTTAGTTGGGTGGGCCAGCAAGGTATATTTACTGCCAACCAGGTTTTGGCTGTTCAATCTATCCGGGTTGCCGTTGTTGCAGCCCTCGATATCAATCAGCTGCATCCCTCTACAGAGGATCTCGGACTCTATCTTGGACTGCAGCTGGCGAAGAGAGTGCTTCTGCTGCAAGCTGGAGAACCACCAAAACCACAGCCTCCAGCAGGTGAACAACTAGAAAAACTGCCAAGCTCACCAAGGCTGCGGAGCGGAAGGACTCGTGTCCCCAGCTTAAGACCAAGACGAGTAAAAATCTAGTACTCGATAAAGTGGCAGTTCTTTAATCTGATTATGTGGGGAAATACTGGATCCCTATTTATTTTCTACTCTGCTTCTATTCAGTGAAAAAAACAAAAACGTTTCAGAGGGAACTGTTATCATATGCAACGGCCGTACTCTAAAACAGTGAAGCTCAATAGGTTCAAGCTACAAATCTTTACTATTCTACTCTGTTTTGACTCATGAAAAGCAGGGTCAAAGCAGAAACGAACCCACAAAGCAGGTGAGTGCAGATGAATTTTCAGCCAAAAACAGTGGCAGCGACTTCTTTAACATCTTTCCCCACATTGTAGACAAAGGTGATTAATTCTTATCATTTATATCCTTAAGCAACGTCTGTCCCAACCAGCACACAAACATGAGCACAAGTGCTGAACAGAGACACCCTGTGGTAGCTAGTCACACCATCTAGTAATCCTCTGCTTTTTATTTTGTTCCAATGTTAGGAATGAGTGTTAGACATGGATGAGACGCCTAACACAATAAGCAGTGGCCTTTGAACCCAGCCACTATCTCACCAATAGTATCTTTACATTTGTGTCTCGATCTGATGGCTTCAAACAGAAATCAAAAGGTCAGGAAAGTGGGTGGAAGAAGAGCAACATTCACTCAGCATTAGGGATGGGTATTGTTTAGGTTTTATCCGATACCAGTACCAAACTGGTACTTTTGAAACTGTGCCGGTGCTTAAACGGTGCTAGAACTGGTGCTTAAAGAATGGAGAACACAAAATTGGTTCAAAAACCTCTCATGTTCAGCTGTTTTTTTTGTAAAAAAGATAACAATGTTAGCCTTTTCTGCAGCTATAGGGGATTTATGGTATCACTCTTGGCTGGAAGTGATACCATACTTTTTCAATGGAAAAAAAACAAACTTTGTCCAAAAACCTCTCATGTTTAACTGTTTTCCACTTTTTCTTTGGTCATTTTAGCCTTTTTGGCCAGGGTGAAGGGAGTATCTGCCATCAAACAAGAAGACAGCCGCATGTAACTACGAAGGTGTTTGCTAGTTCACCTTACATGCATTAATTCAATAACGTGGTTAGTTTACACACGGACAACATTAAGCTACTCACGCAGAGAATAACGGCTGCTGCTGCCATCATCATCCGTCATCATTTCTGCTACACTGGCAAGGCTAGGGGCCAGGACTCTTTGGGTTTTTGGGGGATGTTGCTAACTCCGGGTCCGATAACAGGCAACCCACGTGCAGTAGATGTGCACGGTGTGAGGTCTCGCAGCAAGCTGTCAAAAACGGCGCATTTCTTGGCTTTTAACAAAATGCTATATGTCGCCAGGTGTTTGATCAGATTCGAGGTGTTACCTCCTTTGCACGGTATCACCTTAAAGCACTTGTTGCAGGCTGCTGAGTTTGCATCTTTTGCTGTGAAGTACTGCCAGATGTTGACCGCTTCGCCTTGGGCATTTTTAATCTGTAGCTCTGCTCTAAAAGAACGTACGTACCTGGGCCCGCCTACTGCGCTTGCAAAGATAAAATGATTGGCTAGAATCCAAAGTGTATGACATCTCAGGAAGAAAAAAAAGCACCGAAATAAAGCACAGAAATGTGCGCTGCTTTTTGGTCTGGTTATTACCGTTTATGTCAGAACTAGTGCCATAATGGCACCAGATACCAGTACCCATCCCTACTCAGCATAATCGACAAATTAGTGTGGACACACGAACAAGCAAAAACCCCAAAACCCCAAAGGCCAACTTCTAAAACTCTACTACACCTACAGATGCAAAGCTGAACCCCAATTAATGCAGCAGGCTGTGGGGGTGGGGGGGAAGACACACTGTGATGATGGAGCCAAACCGAGCCTAGTGCACACCAGCAGGGGAACTTACTGGAGTATCCCGTAACAGTGGTTGGGGTTTTGGGGCTGTGGAGCTTTATAGCTGGTGGTACACTGAGGGGAGCTGACGCACGCACGCACGCACGCACGCACCAGGATGAGAAGTAGGGGAGAGAACAGGAGGCAGACAGAAAGGAAGGCAGAAGGTAAGAAGATGGCAAGATGAAGATGATAGCAAAACAGAATACAAGCAAAAGGAAATGAACAAGAAATGCCTAATGATATCACAAGAATCATAGTCAACATAGAGACAAGTGCAGTCAGAAACAAGGAACAGAGAGAGCCTCACTACAGCAGACAAACAAAACTCATAAAAGTGACAGACTGATTCAGTTATAACATTTAAACTGAGTTTAAACAAAAAGCTTTCCTCATTTCCAAAAGGCAAACAGTCAGGATTAGAGCTGCAGCTAGCAATTATTTTATATTCTCCATATTCTATCAATCATTCAACCAATTAATCAAATAAGTAGTTGTCTCATTAACAAAAATATTTTGTAATTATTTATTTACAAAAATAAATCATTAGAGACATAGCAATATGTATGTATGTATGTATGTATGTATGTATGTATGTTTAACCTTTAAGCCTCTATAGGAGCATGTGCTGTGTGCAATGAAGAAACACGAGCACATAAAAATTCTCAGATCTTCTGAGGCCCTGTGTTTTGATACTTTTTCTGCTGCAGAAAGCAGACCTTCAGATGAGTGACGTTAATAATAATAACAATAATAACAACAACTACTTATAATTCAGTGTCCAAGCTAATAATGCCAGGTCAGTGGCTGAGAGTTTTAGTGGCTTGTATATTCTTAGCGGCCTATATATATTAAGAAAAAGCTTTCATTTGTATTCATAAATATTGGTACAATTTAAGTCGTAATTTATATTTTATATTAATCTAAATCTGCAGTATAACGTCACTTTAGTCTTGAAATAAATATGCTCTAGTACACCCCATACCCCCCTTTAGACACACCCCTGTTGTTGCAGGTATTGCTGCCATATAAAGTAGGACAGCTGCTGTCAGCCTTCTGCAAGCTGCCTTATAAACATACCAGGTTCAGTCAGTCTGCACTCGTACGCTTTTTAACTTCTGTAGCTTTACTGTAGATTTTCATTGTAGCACCGCTGTTTGTTTTACACAAAGTTTGCATTTCTTTACATTGGAGTTTGCTGATCAGCTCGTACGTTTTTGTTTTGTTTGTTTTTTTAAATACAAATTATAGAATTTTCTTATCTAATCTAGTTTGACATATCAGGCCCAACAAAAACCAAGCGATATAAAAAGGTATAAATCAATACAGTTCAAGCCATTAACATTGTGAAGCTTTTGTGGAAACCAAACTAAACAGCTTATCCAAACCAATCCCCATCCCAAAGTCTAACCTAATATTTAAAAATAAAATAAAAATAAAATAAAAATGTGATACTCAAAATTAGCCAGGTGCAAATGTTTTCAAGGAATTAAAATAAATGATAAAAGGCTGCTGCATCTATAAAACCTCACTAGCATACCCTCTGAGTCTGAATTGGATCTTTCAGCCAAAGTGATGTAGCTGGAGGGTGAACAGCTTTCGAGGAACACTAAATTCTACGATGTGCCAACAAAAAGTCCAGTATGATTGAAGTGTAAGGCAGACGAGTTAAATCACAGAGAGGTAATACCTCTGCCCCACAGGTCGAGGTTGTCAGAATATACTTTAGATAGTCTTGATTTTGACAAATACAATCTACAGGGTGGGCCATTTATATGGATACACCGTAATAACATGGAATGGTTGGTGATATTAAAGTCCTGTCCTGTTTGTGGCACATTAGTATATGTGAGAGGGCAAACTCCTCAAGATGGGTGGTGACCATGGTGGCCATTTAGAAGTCGGCCATCTTGGATATAACTTTCTCCCCCCCCCAATAGGAAGAGGGCCATGTGACACCCACCCTGTATTTACTGTCTTAAACAAAGTAAGGAAGAGTCTTGCACATGAGGATGAGGTATGAATACTATCAATTACTTTTTCCAAGTAATCTTCCCCAAATTTAAGACCCAGTTCCTTTTCTCAACTGGAAGTGATCTTTTTGGTTGAGTAATTGCCCAGTGCAGTAATGAAAGTATATATTCATGAGATAAGAGCCTTACTGTGAGACTTCAACTCATATAAGTCCTCCCACAAATGCTTGGGGGGCTGACATGGAAACTCTGGGGAAGCAGAGGACGCAGTGTGTCTTATTTGAAAACAGCTGAATAAATATGAGGGCAAATTGTACAAAAGACATATCACTAAAAACTGAGAAAACTGTTGTCTTTCCAAAAAAAATAAATAAATAATAAATAATAATGAAAACATTGACTCCTTTTCTTGCACATATATGAAAGGAAGAGGGGGGCTGATTATTACAGATTGGGGTCAGAGCAGAGGCAGAGACAAAATTAAGGTGGCACTGGAATTGATACCAAATTTTTAAAAAAATAAATAAATAAAATTTTTCCACGGAGGCAATTACAACAGGGTTATCACAACAAGGGATTAAACTTGATATGCACTCCTAAATACTTAAAGCCAGAAAAAGTTAGACGGAAAGGTAGCTCCGTTTTGTCTAAGCTCCTGTGTATCAAGGTTTATGGGAGAAAGAGACAAAATTTTAAAGTGATTCCATAATAGCAGATAGGTGAGTCGTTGGATTTGTAACATAATAATAATAATAATAATAAACCATCTGCATATATAGCAATCCTGTGCACTATGCCACAGGATTGCACTACACCACTACAAAGACGTTCTGAGAGGTGGCTGAGAGAGGCTCTACTGATAAAGTGAAAAGTAAAGGTGAGAGTGGGAAAGCCTGCCATGTAACAAGTTTTAAGTAAAAGAATCTCAGTCTTAGTACAAAAGTGATACTAATGGGGTGATGCTGATACTCTTGACCAAATCAATAAAAAAAAGGAGTGTATGAAAAGCAGGCTAGATTTAGTATCATGATTAAAGAAATAAATGAAAAATAAAACAAATACAAAAAGCTAAACAAAAACTGAGGAGTACCTCTCACCCCCACCCACTAGGCCCCATTCCCCCAAAAAAAACAACAACTTCAACTTTCTAACCCAAACTCCTGCTACACAGTAATAGCAGCTCCACAGAACCATAACTTAAGTACTAAATAGATGTCCCAGTGTAAATAAAACATCTCAATGAACATTAGTTTAAAACCATAATCATGTACCGCATTGTCTAACTTAGAGGACAAGTTCACAAAGGATGACTTAAAGTCCACTAGCACTGCAGCTTTATGCCCAATTTGAGTAATCAATGCAGAAACCATAATAATTGATTGTTATTTTCTATAATAAAATGAGGCTGCAGCATACATGTTTCACAGCCTATGATGTACAAAGATGATCAGACATCAGATAGTAGAAAGGGTCAGAACTGTCAACAACAGTTACCCCTGAATGCAACAAATTGTCAAACTAAGCAACTGGAAATGCTCGCGTTTCCATCAGGAATCTCATCAAGTACACAAAAATACAGAATTAATTGTCCTTCAATAAGATATACTACACAGGGTGAAAGTTTAGGTTTCCATTCTTGGTTTGGTCCGTGCTTTAGGATTCAACAAGCAAAGCAGACTTTAAGTATTGTTTTTTGCTGCAGAAGAACTTTACTGCTGCCATTTTGTAGCAGAAGCTGCTACACCATACAGATCAAAGGCTTCAGACTGGTTTAGAGCCGTTTTATAAAAGGAAGCAGGAAGTGATGTGCCTGTTGTCTGTACAGTTTTGCCTTCAGTCACTCACCTTCCTGCGTGATGCAGATGGAGCCGCTGCCCATCCCCACTCTCAGTGCATCCACTCCTGCATCAATCAGATTCTTGGCCTGAGCTGCAGTCACGACTGCCACAGACCGGGTGAGACACAGAGGAGAAAACCCCCCCCCCAAAAAAACAGTAATTTTCACCACAAGCAACAGATCAATGAGCATCGAATACAATCAAAGACATGAGTGTTCAACACTCAAGCCCACTGGCTGTGAACAAATGTAGGATGTGTCGCTCCCCCTTTGCATAATACGCCTTTATCATGGACCATTCTGACAAGTGCATACATAGAAAACAGCATCCATTCTATAGTGAACACTTTCTTTTTAGAAAACACTTTCTCTGAATATTTTACATATGAAAATATTAGTGTGTGTAAAGTGAAGTTACCATTGCCACCGATGACCTGCAGGTTGGGGTACTTTTCTTTAATATATTTGATCATATTGATCTGGAAGATCGAGTTGCCCTGAGATGAGTCCTGGAGGTAGAGAGATGAAACATAACATGATCTTCCCATTCAAAGACATGAAGACTCACCCAGATTGAAGATAACCCCTTAACAACAAAAAACTGTATTCTAAACAGTAATTGGCAGGTCTACTCTGTCCTTCATCCAAGCGACTGCATTTTCTTTTCAGATTCCATGGTTATGCACACTGTTTCATTAAGTGGTTTTAGTTAAATATTTGTCAGTGGACCAAGGCAGGTCTCTTACTTGCATGACAAAACCAAAAATTGGTCCCAGTTTAAGCCCCGTCCCCAGTTTCAACACGACTTAATTTACCCCCAAACTCTGCACCTGAAACATTCCACGCCTTTAAAAAGCACATTAGAAGTCCTTACTAGTACAACCGCATCCACTCCGCTCTGCACCAACAGGTCCAGTCGGTACTTGTCGTCATCGTGTGTGCCGATGGCTGCACCACACAGCAGCTGTTTCCGAGAATCTTTGGAAGCTAAGGGGAAGTCTCTGTTCTTCTTCAAGTCTGTGCGAGCGATGATGGATACCAGGGACCCCTCTTCATTCACTATGGGCAATTTACCTGCAGGAGGAACCAAAGGCATGAAAGCATGCTCATGCTGTGCACTTAGAAGCAGCTTACCCTGTTCCTTGGTACATTTTTCCCCATCATAGGGCTTCGTGATAATAGCCAAAATTATGATCACGATTATTCAGATTTTTGCGCCAAAAACTTTTATTGCACTGTAATGTAAACAGAGCACTGCTTCAACATCAACACAACAGTGTTGTGCTACATACCAACTAATGTACAAATCATTACAGAAAAATAAAACTGATCCTCATCAACTAAAGTCATGGCATCTCTTGGAAGAAAAATAAATCATTTTATAAACTTTACACAAAAAACAGAATACTGCTGTCACTTTTACACTGCATTATATTCCTATTAAAAATCTTTGCAAAACAATAAGACGTTTATCCATCTCACCTAAAGACAAAATAGTCTCATTCTATTCACTGTACCAGCATGACATGTGTGAATAAAATTTAGCAAAGAGAGCCCAACAGATACAAGATTTTTAAGAGCAATAACAATATTTCTACTCTATATTTGGCGGTTTAAAAATCCAACATTGGCTGATTTTGTTTTTCCCCTTTCAGACACATGAAACTGATTCCCATAACAATTATTATGTGTAGTGATCATAGTTTATCCTTACTGAGAAAATAATGACAAAGCAGTTTAACAATGGTCTTGTTTTACTGTCACTACAAGTCATGGGTTACTCATTTACACTCTGCAAAATTCTGCTTAGATCAGCTTATTCTTAGGTGCCCCCAACAAGGACGTTACAAAGTGCCCTCTGGTGGACAAACAGTGCAACATTAACATGGCGGAAAGTTGTTTTTTAGTTTTTACAATTTCATCTATCAGCCAGCTGATATATCGGTGGAGCTCTAGCAGAACACAGTGGCTGTGAGATCCCATTTGTTCCCCCTTCCACAGTTTGTTTACAGTGCAGCTCTATCCCACATTGAGAAAATAATTGCATGAGGGGATAACATATCTTTTGTCCCCTACACTGACTAGACGATGCAGTTGTATTGGTGATTTCAGTGAGTCTTTGTAACCCGGATAGATGTGCTGATGGACTCCTCAGGTTCACCTTTTATGGATGTCTGCACTGACACTGGATAACGTGAATCATCCAGTGTTAGCTTAGACAATGCATTTTTCCCCCCCTCTGCCTTCATGAAGTCATTTTACCACAGTTACTAGAGCAGGACGATATGACCAAAATTATTTATCACCATATACATGTGAAAATTTGCGATAACGATATAACTGACGATATAATTGACACTAGACAAAATACTTTACAACTCCACAACTTTATTAGTGCAAAAAATAAATAAATAAAAAAAAAAATAATAAAAAATCAAAGAATTGATTTTAAGTGTGCCGTATTTTAAAAAACAAAAACAAAAAACAAAACCCAAAAACAAAAAAACCCCACAGTAATAACGACAGCCCGCTAGCATGCTCTACCAAAAATAGTGCTTTGTTGTGTATCTGACGGATGAAAGCTAAACCAGCTCCACACCACTGAAGTTGCAGCATTTTTACAAACCAATTCTGGTTCATCTGTTTCATTCAACGATCCGCTTTCGCCCTTCTCATTCTCCGTCGCCGCCATGCTTTTTCCGCCGTGTGGGTATGAAAACAAAGGCACTGCGCATGCACGTTTTACCCATATTCTATCGCGATATTTCATTTTCTTATCATTGCCCAACATTACACCGGTATTACTGTGAACGGTATGATATTGCCCAGCCCTAACAGTTAGTGAAGTGTTTTCAGGTGGTTGAAGAAGTTAGTTTGTTGCTTTGCAGATCGCACTAAATCTAAAGTACCGGTATTTCCAAACAATGGATGAAGATCTGTTTAGAATAACAATCTCTTTGCCTTTTGCTGTGCCAGACTTTTGCTATTTGTTTTGACTGTTTGATATCTGTTGTTTATCTGTCTTTGTACTGTTTCTCATTCAGAGTACATCCAGGAAACTTTAAGCTGCAGCATGCAGGAAACAGCTGTGACTGGTATGTGCTGGCATACCGTCAGGCAGTGATTTAGGGACTGCTTTGTGTTCAACCAGCAGGGCACACATTCACATTAACAGTCAATCATGTTCCTGCAATTGTGGAAAGCCAAAATTATGATCAAGGACAAAATCTGATCAACTGGCCCAACTTAATCATCATATTATCAGGTCTTACACGAAACAACCTACACACCTTTCTTACTCCTCTGGAGGATTTCATTGGCTTCTTTCAGAGTCACCCCAGCGGGGGCAACCACCAGATCATCTCGCTTTGTCATCACCTGTGAGAAAAATATTACAAAGGTTTCTAAGAAAGTGTCTCTAGAGCATTTTGAGATGTAAATTTCAAGATCAAACCAATTTTTTGCATGCCCACCTCACTCAGTGGAAGGTCGTGGTCCTCCACCTTCAGAAAATCGATGTCTCTGGATGAGATGATGCCCACCAACTTGCCGCCCATTTTGCCGTTATCTGTGACAGGGATGCCACAGAACCCATGGCGTGCCTTGGCCTGGAAGACATCCCTTACTCGCTCGTTGGGGCTCATCACCACAGGATCTGTGATGAAGCCCTGCTCATATCGCTGGAGAAGGAAGGGGAGGAAGGAAATGAGGAGGGGGAAAAAACAGGATGGGGATGTGGAAAAATAAAGAGGGAGCAAAAAAAGAAAGAAAAAAAAAGGAGCGGTGAAGGGAACATAAAGGAATCACTGCCTATACTCTATAAGCTGGGAAGCAGACAAATACACTGCTCTACACATGCACACAAAAAAGACACGAGTTAAGAAAGATGAAAATAAACATGCATAAAAAAGACGAGAGACAGACTGAACACAGAATCACTACCTTGACTTTGCGAACTTCATTAGCCTGGAACTCTGGAGTGCAGTTGTGGTGAATGAAGCCTATACCACCTGTTAGCTGCAAGAAGAGATAACACATGCGTGTGTGCCTGAGGATGGCCAGATGTGATGGCAGAATAATAAATGCCTTTGGTTGTTATACTCACTGCCATAGCGATGGCCATGTTGGCTTCAGTGACAGTGTCCATAGGAGAGGAGACGAAGGGGGTCTTCATGGTGATTTGTTTGGTGAGCGCCGATGTCAGGTCCTACATACACAGAAACACTCAGTTTAACCTTTCAAGCTTCACACAGTGGGGTAAGCAGAGGTGGAAATATTTAACCAGTTTCAGTTTAATGGCTGTGACATTACAACATCACATTTTTTTGGACATTAAAACACTTGACACTATGTATCAGTTTGTTACAACTAGAGCTGGGCGATAGAACGATAACGATATGTATCGCGATATAACTTTTACTCGATAGAGAAATTAAGCTATCGCGATAGACCTCGCCGCTCTTGTCCTCTTAAAAAAAAAAAAAAAAAAAAAAGGTCAGCCAATCCAAATAAGTAGCGCAGAGCCGAACCAATCACAGCCGCAGCGTCACGTCGCGTGACTTGTTACGTACAGCACAAGTGCCAAGCCGCACGTGTGTTTGTTTGGGAAGCAGCCAGCGGGTAATGGAGGAAATGAGTGTGCCGACTAGAAAAATCAACCGAGCGTGACCGAAGAGAAAACAGATGATGGTTCCAACGCCGGAGAGATTGTCGAACGGAAGAGCCATAGAAGTTCCGTAGTGTGAAGGTATTTCGGCTATTTCAAGTCTGACAAAAAACAGAGTAGCGTGCACTGTAAATTGTGCCGAAAGCAAGTCTGGAAATACAATAAACTGGTGCATGCGTCACACTGTGCGCCACGTTATTGTTTCGGTGAAATGAATTTCTACAATACTGTTACTGTTAATTCTACTCTCTGCAGTGTTTAAATGCTTACATATACACACAGTTACTGTCCCTCCACACATACGACTCGGTTCTGCTTCTATGCCCCAGCTTTGTTTACTTTTTCCCACCGAGGCTTCTAGACTTCTGATTGGCCAACATTTCTGCACGGTTAGGAATCTAGCGCCACCTGCTGCTTTGGCATGTTCATAGCAGCGTTTTCCTTCATTTCTGCCTTTATGTGTGGACGGGATTATTTTTTAAAACGAAAACGGAAAATCTCCGTTTTCAAAAATACCCGTGTACGTGTGGACGTAGCCTCAGTCTCTGACTGGAAGCGCTAATTCGTCATTCGGCTTTTGTCAGACTAAAGTAACTGTTAAAACTGTTTGAAAAGCTCAGCTATACAACAAGGAGAGATTGAGAATTTCCTTTTAGTTCTCAGTTTATTTGATATTGACAAAAGTTAGTCAGTTTTGTCTGTTCTTCTGTAAAACAAACTAAGATTTATTTTTAGAATTAATATTTTGTTTCTAAGTGGAATTGACAATTTAGTCTGTTTCGTTTGTTCTATTTTGAAACTTAAACGCTTTAGCGGCTGCCTTTTGTGTAGTTTGCAATATTTGCCTTTATTTATCTGAAAAAGTCTCATGTTCCTTAAGTACATCTACCCTGTTGAACTTATTATGGGAAATAAATATTTAAATAAAAACAAGCTGCTGATTATTTCACATTTTACTTGTGAGCAACGGCACATTTAAATCTTACAAATATAGTTATTTGGCTTATATCGTGATAGATATCGTTATCGCCTGAAATGAAAAAAACATATCGTGATATGAAAAAATCTCATATCGCCCAGCTCTAGTTACAACATACCAGCACAAAACATGTCATGTTTTTAGACATGTTTTTAGAGTGACACAGAGTTTTTAGACTGTGTGTGTTTAGATAGTTAAATATTTGGAGCGAAGAAAGGCAACTAAACAGATTTATGAATGGCACTGACATTTCTTTCAACTTACAGGACAATCATGTCGTCTGAGGTGTTTCACCGCCATCTGACTGTTTTCCAGCAGAGAGAAGTACTTCTACTTACAGCTATGCTTCAATAGTATATGTCAGTAGGACACAACATACTGTTTTTAATCTGAGTGACTGTGGAGTAAATTTAACATGTTCTCATGGTGACAGACAATTTTTTTTTAAATCTTCTGATACAAACTATTTTTGACAAAGTGGACTAAATGCTCAGTTTCAATTAAAGCCACATGAGAGATGCAAGTGACTTTTACCCTTTTTGAAATACATTGTCCATTACTTACTTTTATTTTAATAGACATTTGTGCAAAACTCTTGAATTATGCCCAAAAACCTGTTTTGTGGGGTCATGTTAACCTTAGGCCTCCAAACTCTAACAGTCCTAGTAAATGCTTGCTCAGTGAAATGCAAGAGCAATGCATCAGTCACCCTAAAACTAAAAGAACATAAGGAATGCTTATACAGCATATCTCAACATGCTGAGCCACCTAAAATCACCATAGAAGAAATTCCTTCGTTACAACAGTCCAGTCCAAACATGAACACACCAAAACTAGCTGAAAAAAGAAGAAAAAAAAAATAGTTCAGAGCTACTGTTTAAATGTGCATTGTAAAAAGGATGCATATTAACCAAGTTACACATATATTTGGTCAGACTGTTGCTTTCTATGTCAATAACAAAAGGAAACTGCAGCTCTGACACAAATGTGGTTATGATGTTGCATGAACTAAGTCTAAGATGAACAAGACAGACTCCAAGAGCGCAAACCTCCACCAAGGCAGCTAAGTCTCTAGCCAGTATTTACTTTGGGACTAGAATTGTTTGTTCTATGTATTCATTTTTCTCCTTTGTTCTTTTTCAACGTACTGGAGTGTGTAGTACAGTAAAAACAAGTGCAAAGTGCATGCTTTTGGTTTTTGCACTGTTGAAACCCATTTTAATATACTTCACCTACTTTTGAGAATAATTGTGTTTTTATGTGGCTATATAGTACATCTGTAACATTCATTGTACGGTTTGGTAAAATTAGTTTAACTGTTCAATAATAAAGAGCAAATTAAAAGCTTTAGATCATGAGTTTTTGCTTAAAAAAGAAAAATGTATTCAGGAATGCTGCACATGTATTGTAATTGTTTTGTATTAAAACAGTTATAACCTGTTATTGTACTCTACAAAAAAATGAATCACTGTACTCAAAAATATCCCAAGTCGACAAAATGTTGCCTGTCATTTTATGTAGCTCTAGACCTTCAGATCAATCTATTGACCTTGAAGGAGAAGTCAAAGGATAAATGTGACATAATTAAAATCTTTATAATGTACTTTCTATATGTTAAGAATACACACCACACTTGTAAGAATCATAGTTTCTAAGTTATAAGGCTTTTTCTCAATTTTCACCAACAAATCATTAAAACAATGACTAAGCTAATAACATGACCCCACTCTACACCTCTGCTAAGAACTCATTCGATACTTCTACAAGTTATTGTGTTTACAGAGAGAAGGACAAAAAGTAGAAGTAATAAGATAAAAAGAAGTAGAAGTAACTTAACCACCTTATTGAAATGGTCATTTCAATCAAACACACTATCAGATTTCCTCTCTCCCCCCACCCCCAGACGCCTTTAACCTTGTGAGCCACGGTGCTGTATGGGTTTATGCTGGTGCAGCCTTTGGTGACATTTCTCAGAGCACAACATTCAAGAGCAATAAACACAGGCGTTTCTCTGCTACAACCTTACTTGGTCTGGTATGACCAGCAGCTCATGAAGGCTAAAGTTAGTAAACATTAGATAGGTGTGCCCCCACCTCGGTTTGCCAGTTTTGTAGTTAGTTGGTATCCCCTGAACGTCACAGTGACAGCATTTAGAAAAAGTTACAGAGTCTCTTTAAAGTGAAAACAAACTGTGCAATTTATGGAAGCACTGTGAGATAACATTAGAGATGGGAGGCACACAGCTCATAATCCTCACTCTCACCTCATATGCTCCCACCCTGAACATTATCCAGCTTGGATTAGTATAATACTACAACATCGGCTTTAACCAGATTTTGCATGTTGGCAATTATTCGTCTGTCGACTCAACTCACCACTTGATCAGCAGTGAAGTCAATGTAGCCTGGCAGAATCAGGAAGTCACTGGGGGAGAAACAAAAACAGTTAAAGTAAAAGAAAGTTTAGATCTTTTCAGCCTACAGTTCTGAAGCTTCCTTTGAGATGTCGAACACTTTAACCCCCGATGTCTGACTAAACTGGCTTCACTCCAAGAGTTAAAAAGGAATAATACACTAATTGTAATTGTAAGTATTTTTTGTAAATAGTGAACATGACAGGTTAAATATTGAGCAGGTGATTTTTAAGCTCAGAAATAGTTATGGCATTTGAGAAAAGAACACATCTTATGCAACTGCAAACTGGACATAACATGAATTTCTTGGACGGGAATCGTCAGTGAGTGTCATGTTCACAAGACTGCATACATGGAGCAGAGGCAAAGAGGCCCAGAAACAGACTAAGGGTATGAAAGCATGTTCATCCATGCGACCTGAGAAAATGTGTGTCATTAAGCCACAACACTTTATTATGCATGAACAGCATTTAAAATCGATTAAACCTGGGGTTCCAGTGGGTCAAAGGATTCGCTGATACAGCTTTATTTTCTTACCCATTTAGAAAAAAAGAAGAAACACTAAAACACAATTTGTTTGCTTTCCTTTTATTTTGTTTGTAATATATAACAGTTTTGAAATCTTTAATTGCTTAAAAATTGTTTTAATTCATCATTGGATTTTGGATTGCTTGGTCACTGGTTGGTTGTCAGAAATAATTACATTCAGATTTTTTTTTTGGGGGGGGGTGCAGAAAAAGCTGAAAAGTTTCAGAGTCATCTTGTGGATGATTTGATAATCAGTGAAACAGATTCTTAGTTTTCCCTGCTGAGTAAAAAGCAATTTCATTAAAGAATAAACTGTTTTGTTGTGCAGAGGACTACCGAGCCGACGTTCTAAATATAGCCAGGGTCCACAGGATCCAGCTTAACAACACAGGACTGCATGAGCCAGAGCCTAAATTTAGGGCAAGTGTGTGCACCGAAGGACTGTTCACCCCTCTAATTTCCAATAGGCTTCAACTCAGATTGGTCCAGTATTATTAGCTTTGAAGGGCACCAGTGATCCTTTGACGCACAATGCCCGATTTATGAAGTGAAAACAATTAAAATTTATAGAGACTTTCAAAACCTCACTGAACAATTTTGCTGGGATTTCCCTGCTAATACATACAGCTGCACAGTTACACAGAGGCAGTGGATTCACCGTGAAACGTTCAATCCTGCGTACAAGGCAGATTTTCAAAAGGCGCGAAATTTAAACAGCGAGTTCATATTTAAATGCCACTAGATTTGCTTGAAAACAAAACAAACAAAAATAAAACCATGAACAACGCAAAACACAGGCACACAAAAACAAATTCTTGTTCTTGAAACTGACTGCATTCTGGGAAATGTAGGATCCTCTCTTTTTTGAGGGGGCGCTATCCCCGTTGAGCTAAAAGTAAGCCCTAGCAATAATGCACCTATTACACGATAATAAATGCAACAATTAAGTAACACCCTGGTTTTCGCTTCATAATATTAGTAGAATGTCTTGAGAAACATGAACCACTTACGTACAAACTTAAGTAGCCCAACTTGGCCTGCTTACCAGGGATACAGGTATAGAGATAAGGTCCTTACTTGTATGTGAGTCCGTCTCCTCCGTTGAACAGCTGCTGTCCCGTCAGCCCGTCATCGGGGACGTAACCGGTTTGCCCGCTGATCAGGTAGTCCGCCATGCTGTCCAAACAGCCTTCACCAGTCCTCTTATCAGCCTTCGATTGTAAATAAATCACCCTAACAAGCTGCCGAGGTGCGCATACAGAAACACAAAAACACTCTCTCAAGCCGCACCGGCTCAGACACCGACAACTTTCCTCTTTCGCGCCGCGAGTTGCTCTCCTCCTCGTTCAGTTACCCTTCAGTGCGTCGTCAGGCTCCTCTGTGCGCCCTCTTAGCAGTCTGAGCATGTGCTAATGAAAAGAAGAGGACCAGAGAACGGCACCGTGAGAGATATTCGCTGCTTTTTCGAGCCTCTTCAACCTCAACAGACAAGTGCTCATGTTCTCTCTGCAGCTAACTCCAGCACGTGCATCACTCCCGTCTGACAGCGTTTCCGACACTGCCGTCACATCCGGAAGACCCGCCCCCTCATATATATATATATTATTTCATTGCTGTAGAATTTGATGAAGCTCCTCTTCAGTATTCATACAAAGTTGTATTTACTCTCATACGGATGACTTGTTGAAGATAACACACAGATTTCTGACATTTTTAGGGCTCCAATGCTGCTTAAATCCAGCTGCACTGATTTCTGTTGCGTTTCTAGTTTGTTGCCTACAGGGTACACTGGGAGATGAAACATAGTATGGCAAGGTTATCCCAACAGAAAATAATTATTTCAATTCATATTATTTAAATGTAATAGTGTCTAACAAGGCTGGAGTTTACAAGTTAACGAGTGACACATTAAATGCGGTAGCATCTTTCCCAACCTTTTTTTTTTCCCGAAGGTGTTCAAACCAAAAGAGTCCCCAGGTATTCTGAACACCTTTTCAAAGTTCCAGGTGGCAACAAGAGTTGCTAAGGAGGGACATGTTTAAATAAATGCTTAGACTACAAGTTGTAACCTATGGTGGTTACATATTTTAAATTATTACAATAGTAACAAAATGTATTCTTTAATCTGGTAAGTTTATTCGTCAAGTTGACAGCTCATACAACGAGCTTGCTGGTCAGTTAGTAGTCTATAAATGACTGGGGTTTTAAGATTAACTTGATCTCCAAATCTTCTTATCTTACTGTAAGCTGCACTGGTATAGTGGACAAAATTGATGAATTTCATAAAGCTAAATGAATCTCAGCTAATCTGAGCTCAATCATCAGCCCCACACTCTGTTGTAAAGTGAAAAATGTGCCTGCTCCAAGTAAACACTTGAGGGTGCCCTCTTCCTCCTATACAAGCTATGTTACTGTGTAAATATGAAACCAGGACACATGCAAGGTCAAGCAGAGCAGTGGGGCAGTGGATATCATCTTTGCCCACTACTACATTTATCTATTTTAGGCTGTAGCAGACGCTGTGGGCCTTGCACTTAACAAGGTGCCAATCTGATAATGTCAGAGTAGGGTTTCTGCACTGTGTCAACAATGCAGTGCCCGAAAAATTACAGTGATTGTGAATATATCATTTTAATCCTGTTTATATGTATATTTATTAACAAAACGTGTATGTCTTCATTGAAAGACTCTTTCAAAACATTTTTTAATTGTCAAGTTTTATGTATCAGGACAGAAATAAAATCGTTTGAGTTAAATACAACTTCAGCAGTGTGTGAAAGAGTGCATGCTAGGATTCAGTAGCTCATAGAAGCTTTGGCAGCCATAAACCTGAAGCATTCATTCTCTTTATGGGTTTATTAGTCTCTCTCATTGTTGTGGAGGAATTTTGGCCTACTTTTTTTACAGAGTTGATTCAGTTCATTCAGAGTTGGTAGCATTAGTTTATGCATAGCTCTCTGTAGGTCCAGCTACAGCAGTGCAGTCATGAGGTTTCGGATGAGGCACCTTGAATATTTTGTCAGTCAGTCTGTTGTAGATTAGCTGCTGTGCTTGTGATCAGTCATGTTACAAGATCCTGCTACAGTCTCAGCTGAAGCTTTTGTTTAGCAGCATTATTTGTTTTTGTGTTAATGGACTGAATGTTTGCTGCACTTTGTATTCTCACTGATGTGTGTCTAACCTCACATCCTACACTAGAATACTTTGGTATACAGAGGAGGCAATTGTTGACTCAATGACTGCAAGGTGTCCATGTCCTGGGGACGCCAAACTCCTTCTTACCTTCTGTATTTTTCCTAATAATTAGGAGATTAGTTTACCTGAGGTTGCATTTATCCGATTTTTTTTTAAATATACCAATAAAGAAAACCTTTGAACCTTAAAAAGGTTTTTGTCGTTTTATTACCGGTATGACTGTGTTGGAAACAAAATAATGACACACTGCAGGTGTAGGAATGACCTCTGGTAAATGGACTTGTTCTTATATAGCGCTTTTCTACTCTCTGAGAGCACTCAAAGTGCTTCATACAACACGCCTCATGCACCCGTTCATCAGCATTGTTTTTTGTATGCCTAAGTGCTTTCTATCTAACATTCTCACACACATTAATACTCTGACGGATGCATCAGAGAGCAACTTAGGGTTAGGATCTTGCCCAAGATATTTGATATGAAGACTGGAGGAGCTAGGGATTGAACCACCATTAGTCGATCAAAACTTCCTGTTAGCAGATTATCCTCTACCTTCAGAGTTACAGCCATCCCCTGCTGTGTACGAGACTCCTCTAATTCACATTGACAGCACAGTGTGAGGGAAAAAACATTTAGATCGTAAGTCCTATATAGATCAATCATGTCACTGAAATCACTGGCAGGTGAGGTAACATTACCTGGTTGCTGTGTCACCCCAGGGTGAGAT